GTGTGATCGGCATCTACAGTTCATAATTTTGGCAATAAGAGGCCAAGAAGGGGTTGTCCCGTTTCATACAAAGTTTTAAAGTATATTGGTTGACACAAACTGAAGATAAGATGCTTAAATGCAAAAAAAAAAAAAAAATGGATACATAAATTTACAATGCAGGAGGTAAAATCAATACCTTCATGGCGTAAAATTAAATGCTTGAATTAAAGCCAGTTTTGAGTTTGAATTTGCAGAGACACTTTTGTTGGCAATGTTCATTCAATCGCGAGAGATTCGTTTTATGCTCCAACGTTTTTGACAGGGTGAGACGGCTAAAGTCAGCAGATAATGTGAGAACAGAATCAAACGGAAGGAAGCCAATCACTGCGAACATCGGTGAGAAATTCCAGCAAATGACGGAGTTAAGAAAGAATCGACCTGAAAAACTTAATTTGCGCGGGAGAATGAGCATGACGTTTTATTTTGCTTATTGTTCCTGCATAAATTTAAATATTCAGGTCTGATTGTATTTTGTACTTCGTCATTTATTATACATCCTTACAGTGTTCGCAGTGGTAGGCAACCTCTGTGTTCTGCAGTAAAGCGTCGGCCCATGCTTTCTTGAATTAGAAGTTAAAATACGCGAAAAATACGCACCCCGACTTGTGCCGTTCGACCTGCGTCTGATTAATTCACTTAAGTTTAACCTTCGCATACTCAACTACAATCCTAAAACGTCATAAAACAATTTATGCCATTTTACTCAAGTATTATCAGAACGAATAAAACCGGAGAAAGGTAACTACTAAAAAGAAATTATGGCAGGGAAACACGGATTGTATAATTGACTTATTTAAGGCCCTGTCACACTGAGGCATCACGATTGAAAACTCAACGCAACAAGGAGTCCAACAGTCGGGAAACTGATTTCTCGCTCCCCGTGTCGCCCGACAAACCTGTCACATGGCGAGAACAGCAGCACAACATGAACGACAACTGAAAGTTGTGCCTCGGTAAGACAGCTTTCGACAAAAAAATAGCAGCAACTTGTGTTGGAAAACGTGTGTTGCCCTGATCGCTGGCTGAGCGAAAGCAAAAATTACAAATTTGAAGCATCAAAACGACCACTTTCATCATGATTGTTAATGCTTGAAACTCGAAAACCGCTTCTACCAGTCAACTGATTTGGTTAAAAAATACCCAGGACGTTTTGTGGAATGAAGCGATCACAAAGCGGACTGTAGGCAAAGAGACAACGTTGTAAAATATTTATTCCACCGATTGTTGTGAAGGCAGATCCTGTCGGTGGGGCAGTTTTCAAACACTGTCAGTTTAGCTCAACACCAGGCTACAAAATACTATCTGGTGTACTGCGGGTGCTAACTCAATTTTACATTTAGAAATAAGAATTGCATGAAAAAAAAAAAAGAACCAGACAGAAGCACTTCATACGGTGGCGTAAATCCTGAAGATATAGCAGCGAAGTCTTTTTCCTCGGTTAGGCTATCTGCTTTGTCAGATAATCAAGTACATTTTGATAAAATGAAGGGTGAACAATACTCCCCGTGTCAAGTTTTCAAATCCCAATCACTGGTGGATGTCGTCCCGCGGTAATTTCCGTCCCTTCGAACGCACTAGCACTTTGTAGAGTCGCATTTCCAGCTACTTCGCGCTGCACACGAACGAAAATAAATAAACAAAATGGCGGAGTGTTCCCTGTGTTTTCCTCGCCGGCAGCGCGGTGTGACAGGGTGGTCGGAAAACGAATCGGCCAACACGGTTATCGGGCGGCAGCAACATGTTGCCCGACTGTTGTTGTTGCCGCGATATGACAGGGTCGCCGGCAACACAATTTCCTCGTGTTGCCGGACAGAGTTGTCAAACTGTTGCCTCAGTGTAGCAAGGCCTTTAGGATCTTCGCAATCCAACCAGCACCTCTTAGGTCAAAAAGCCGTAGCGAACACGAGTCCTAGGTGATCATTAAGTCGTGTCCGATCTGTACCGTTGTTGGTCTTGTTTAGACATTGTCAAAAACTCAGCACTGCGGCTTTGTTATCCAGAAGGCGATGACACAATACACAATTCTGGGTGAATTGAGGACACCAAAACGTTATGGACAAATATCAAAACATCATGAACTGATATTGAAAAGTCATGTATCGTAATCAAAACGTCATTTACCGATATGAAAACGTCATAAACTGGTATCGATACGCCATGAACCAATATGAGAACGTCATAAACTGATATCAAAATGGCATGAGTGATACCAAAACGCCATGAACCGATATCACAACGTCATGGACCGATATTAAAGCATCATGGACCGATATCATAAGCTTATGAACAAATATCGAATATTTCTGGGCATGATAAGTGCTCATTAACCAAACAAATGTTTGTGGAAAGGCGCCGGGGCATTTCTAATAAAAATAATGGGCGAGAAACAATATTTGCGACAACAGACCGGATCTGAAGACGTACCTAAACTTTTGGGACGATGTGATAGGCACATTAAATTAATCCAACACAAGATATCTAAAAATATTGGAAACAAAAATATCGTTTTCAAATATTACAAAAATGCAACCTGAATTGCCCAGGTTTTGAAACGGCTGACAGTTTATAAGAATAAACAGTTTGCTCAAATTGATATTACGTCAAAAACGCTTGTAGACTCGCTCTTTAAAGACAGCCTGTATTAAAAAAAATTACGTTAAGGCATTGCAACCGCAGTTATTAGAGTGTCGATCTGTTTACAAGAACTTAATTTGCTCCTGTCTATATTATGCATCACGCAATCTGAAATTCCTACGGGACGATACACATGTATGTATTCCGTGGCTATAGGTAATACTGATTTATGCTGAGTTCTGCCGCACAAGATTTTTTAAATAGTTATGTAAAAAGCTGAGCTACGAACCTAGCTTGACGGTAGCGAGAAAAATTGGAAATCTAAAGGTGAGTAATAATAAGCTAATGGGCGAACTTCAACAGCATATCAAGTGCCTAAGAGATACCTTTAAGTGGTTTTGCGCACAATTAAATTTTTATGAAAGGAAATTATTAAAAAAAAAAACTTATTTACAGGCCTCCAATGTGTAGTGTCGATTTCATTTAATCGCAGTGAGCTATTGGTTGGCAACTATTTTGTTCCCATGAAGGCACCTTCCGTGTTAATACGTTTCCTGTCAGGGTCACCCCAATAGAGACTTCTTGAGTTATACAAAATTGTCTTCCTTGGACTGTTTTCTTTATGTTCAGAAAATCTAGTAAAGTTATGAAAGTATCATGTCAGGATTGAATGAGAAGGTCGGGAAACACTTCCCATTCATTTTTCTTACTCTATGTTTCTGAGTGAATGTTTCTTACTATACGGATGAGGGTTAGCGCCATTCAAAATACAAAACACAACCTGTATGCCGATCGGGCAATCTACGGTTATTTTTCACACACCGAACACCATTTAAAGAGTTTTAGTATATCGGTCTTGCGATGATTCTTTCCATTCCAGGTTTCAGCTTTAAAAAGAAAAGAAATATTAATTTCTGAAGGTGTTTTTGCTCGCAAAATATCAGGCATATCGCAAGAACGCTAGTCACTACACAAGATTTGACAATATTCATTTGTTTCAGACAATATTTTTTTAGAACAACGACTAGTCAAGGGTAAATCGCACATATACTGTCCGAAGATAAGATATGTCTCACAACTTAGAATGTGATTGGGGTAATTGCATTGTTATACTGTACAGGCACCATCAGCGTGCGAGGGCTTGGAAATACCCCTCGTATTTTAGCCTTCATAAAAGAAAGCCTCTCAGAGTGAACCATATATTTTTGATGTTTTTAAATGCTCTTTTCTTCTGAGCGCAGAAGAATAATTAAAGAATTTGGTTCACGACCTTTTTGTCGTATTGATAGCTCAAAAAAATTTAAATATGTGTTATTGTATTGGAATTCAAAGATATAAATCATGGGTTTTTATATTTCATTAGCAGGGTAACTTAAGTATCATAAAGAATGTCATTCAGTCAGGGACCTTCTTATTGGTGAAGGCCAAGATTGTTTTTTTATAGGAGGTAGCTTGTCTTTAAACTGATCGATCTTCGTTTTAGGAGAGCGAAGGCTTCTTTAACACCGGAGACTAGGAACGAAATGTGGACAACATACTTTTTATTCCTATCCTCTTGTGTTCAAGATCATGAATGTTTACCAACTCGCTTTCATCCTCGTTATTTGTTTCATTGTGAGATTTTCGACTGCTAGAATTATGCATAACGCTGGTAGTCGAACGCAGGCCATTGGTAACTCAAAGATTTTCTGCTTTTTAACATATTTTTTTATATGACAAGATGTGTAGTCTGCTCTCGTGCTCTTAATCTATAAAATACCGAATAATATTTTACGCTACCAACACCAGAGTGCAATTTCGGAAGACCCTCCTGAACGTTGTAAAATGGGGTAGACTAAATTATGTTTAAACACAAAACTTCGTTAATTAACTTGACGTAAAACTTTACTTAATATTATAAACCGTAAAGACGTACAGCGGCGCGTTTTTTGCCAAAACGATATCCAGATAACCTATTTTTTATTGACGTTTTTATCTTTCAGCCGCTTAGACATACTTTTTTTTCCTTGAAATTTCTCACCCCACAACGGAACATCGCATTTACTTCTTTATCTAAAAATACTGCGGGTAGTTTTGGCCATATAAGGAGAAGAGGTTTGCATGAGGTTTTTGTCCGAAAAATTCTGCCACTGGTTAGAGTAAGCATAGTGTCAGATGACAATAACTTTCACTTATAGATTTTTCGTTTAAAATTAAGAGAGTATTAAATCGTGTTATTTCAGGAGTATCTGGTCTAACTTTTTAATCGGTTTAGCTTTGACGAGCGCTGCCCTGCTGTAGATTACTCTAATGACGAGGTTAATTCAGCGATCACTTTCTTAGTGCCAATTAAGAGCAGCAAGCGCCTGCGAGTTCGCGCGTTTGGTGCACACACGGTATAAACATTTTTGCAGTTTGGTATAATTTATTTGCTTTTAGATGCAAGCGCAGTGCCTTCCCATCGTGCGTTTATCCGCTTGCGGCTGCAATGGCCCCAGCAGCCTTGTTGATCACTACTGCCGTGCCAATCTTCTTGCCGAGGTTGGCAAGCTTCTTCCTCCACTTCTTGAACTTCTTCCTCAGACCATAAGGAACCACTTCATCCTCGACTTTTTCGACCTCTTCCTCCTGTTCGTCAAGGTTTTCCGTCACATCAGCGGCGAGTTGATCGAGTTCAGCGTTGATCAGCTCCATCTCTTCCTGTTCCTCCACTGTCTCCGCCATGTATTTTCCTTGCAGCCATTTGCCCACTTTCTCGAGCGCTTTGCCTACCTTCTTCCTCCAGCGGTACTCTTCAGCTACAAAAAAAGGACAATTCTTTGCAGTAGCTGACCGAAAATATGTTTCAGCCCTGTAAAAAGCGCACAAATCTGAGGGAGTTTACATAACAAGTGTGGACATTTACGGTATGTCTCTTTGGGTGTTAGAGTTGCTATACTAAAATGACGACTAAAAGGAAAACATGAAAAATTATCTTTTTGTTAAGACGACATAGATTAGAAAATATTAAACTATATCCCCAATTGTTTCAGTGGTTATCCATTTATTGGTTACCTTTGTGCTATAAAGATATTAGGTGTAGGTATTTAATTTTTATGCAGCCTGTAAGCCTGTGCCAACTGCATGTTGATTCCTTATAACTTGCCATTAAAAAGTTAACTAAGGTGCACAAAGTGCAGAAATTAATGAAAAAAAAAAAAAACGTGAGATAAGCTAAGGAGTGGTCGGCGTAAAAATAGAAGCCTAGGACAAAGCATGAGTTTATCTGGGCTACGCTATTGTCTATATTTATGTGGTGCGTTTTAAAAGTAATAAAAGAATGTTGAGGGTGTAAAAGGCTCTTATGACGTCTCTCTAGTGTTTGCGAGACTACATGAAGCACAACTTTTAGAGGTAACATTTCGTTATTCTTAAATATTGCGAATTTATATTTTAATATCCCCAAAACAATACGCAAAACTAGTAATTATCATGAAACTGTACCTTCCTCTGCAACTTCCGTTGGTTCATCAGTTTTTACAGATTGTCTGAAAGAAGAGCATATCTTAATAATCAAAAATTGCCGTTGTAAAACTTCCGTCAAGGACCTCAATGGAAATAAATAAGCTACTCACCTGCTGGCCGCATCTGTAGGTCATGCGAAAAAAGGCAAGCAAGAATGAATAAGATAGACTCAGTATGCATTCGTGCGGGCTCTAGCCTTGACTCTTACAAACAAATATGTGTCGCTTGAAAAAGTTATGCAAAATATTCAGGTTCTTTGTGATTGTTCTAAAAGTAAATGTAAAAAAATTTAATAGAAATAGTTTCTCAACTAATATCTTTATTCGGATATATACTCCTGAAACTCAAGCTTGTCTCTGAGAAATCGTAAGCTCCACGTATCAGCAATCACTGAGTAAAAAAGCTGCCGCGCCGAATATTTAGGCAAAAAAGTTCTATTCTAACGTGAAATGCGCTAATTAAACTGCTTGAATGACTAAATAGATGAATACGTAGGTTACTCACATGTCACGGTCACCAAGGCCGCGAAAACAAGCGCTAAGAGCAGCCTCATTTTATCTGAAAACTGCAAAAATGCAAAAGGTTTACTGATCATTCTGGCCTTGCTGGCGCCCCGATTTTTGAACAGGAAAACGAAAATATCGCGAAAACCACAAATTTCACCACTTAAAAGTGCGAGGTTGTTAAGATAACCCGTCGTATTATAGCTTTAGTCACATATACCTTAAGAAACACAAGCCGAGCGCATCTCAAGCACATGCTTATCGATTTAGAGCCATTGAGATTGCTAAATTCACCGATAAATACGCCGTTGAATAAATCACGAAGTAAGAATGGTTATGAAGAGGGAAACAGCGCCAAAAGTACGAAGGACAGAGAACGAGGAACACACAGACCGAGCGCTTCATAACTATGCATAACCAACTCGCCCAACTTTCAACGGCGCAGAAAGTAAGAATCGTGAACACAATGAGCCTCGCTTTGCACATCTTAAGTTGTCTGTCACCCTACCAGCAAAAAATTAAAATGCCGTTTCGCCAAAAAGAAGAAGAAAAAAAAGGAATATATATGTATATATATATATATATATATATATATATATATATATATATATATATATATATATATATATATATATATATGTATATAACAACAGGCAGCAGATCGGAGAAGGTCGTCAGTATTAGCTTGCTTCTTTAAGACAGTGATGTAGCCATTCCTAGTAGATGAGATTTTGGATTGTCGTTAGAACGAACAAACATGGGAATAAATTAAAACAAAATGGCTGATCAACAGCACTGCTTAGCTGAACGGGTTCCGTATATCAGCGTAGTAGAAAAATTTAAATAAAATATATATATAGCTGCGTCATTGGGTTTATTGCGGAGGTCGATCCCCACAATTGACTATATCTTTGACTTGCGGAAAGTTGAGCGGCTATCTGTTATTTAGAGTAAAGTAGGCCGATAAGCAGGCACCCAACAATGGCAGTATTGGTTATCTGCAAAGTAGGCGTTCTGGAGACACCGGGCTGACAAGTTGTCTAATCTTTTAGCACTTCAGCTATCAACCATTCCATTGTCAGTTTCTTGCGAAGAACTGAACACGACCTGCCCGTCAGACGAAGTGCAAGCACGGACACATAACGACAATGTATGGTTTAAAACTGATGCTGGAATTATCATTCTTTAATTTTCATAAAGAAAATAAGACATGTGAAAGCACAGAGTGTAGTTGGAAGGGAATAAGTACTCACCACTGGAGCTTTCCAGGAAAAAGGAATAGATGGACGTGTCTGTAGATGCTTTTATAGTGCCCTACTGAACAAGGCACACCCCACATCTGGGTTTTCGCATGGCATTTTCACGCGTTCTTATTTCCCTCTCGTAGAGCTTTTTATCTCGTGCCCACGTGAAGATAAGGAATATTGACAATATCTGTTGACTGAGACGCAAAATACTCGGGTTTTTTCTGGTTTTATTACGGCGAACAAGAGACGTAGGGACGAAACTACGACCCTTGTAATGTTGATACTATATCACAGTATACGTTATATACGTTATTATACGTTATTTAGCTGTCAGGAATGCTTAGAAGGAGATATCTAAGCTTATCAACAGCAAGACCTCTCTGAGACACCGAATTTTTGCGAGATACATCAGCTATTTTCGGGGATCGACGCTGCTCTTGTAGACAATTTTAGCCGTTGTTTTGGGTATAAAGAATGATAGATACTTTGCCAATGCTACTGCTGTCCCAATTAAGTGACATAAATTTCCATTTCCATTTATTTAATACATAAAATAAACCCCGAGAAACGCAACTGATTGCAATTGACAGATATGTGCTCGCTAAGAAATAGAAGTAACTGAATGCATGCAATTTAATTCCAGGTATCACGCCAAAGAAATGCCCAACTTGGGCAAATGTCTGGCAAACGTAAGGGTCCAGTTAGGCTTCGCTCCATGGCGTTCATCACTGCGAAAGTACGTTTCCTAGCTATAGCCTTAGTTAGGCGATCCTAGCGCATGCCAAAGTTTGGCTTTTTTCCGGTCTGCCACTGTTTTGCCAAAGTAAGTGCCAGACTTCAGCCATAACTGCCAAAGTAAATCCTAATTTGGGGATTCGAGGCATGGCAAAGTTTTGCTCTTCTTTGTATAGCCACTGGAGTGCCAAAGAAGTGCCAAAGAAAACCCAGAGGCCTGCTGAAGTTTGGAATTTCGCTGGTGTGCCACAAAGGTGCTCTTTTAGGCGCTTCAGAAACATTTTAATTTAAATTAGAGATGGAAACACGACGGTTAGATCTTATCATCTTCGTTCCCGAGCAGCACGGTGATACTTGGCAGTGCAGTGCCAGTACCAACTGAAGGTCAGTTGCAATATGGCGCAAATGGGTAGCTTTGCATCACCGTTATATCTCCGGAAGGTATTGCTGTACAGTCGATTTGCCCCGGTCTAGTGTTCGCGCAATAATGTGCGGATACGCTACGATGCGTCTGCTTCGTATTGGCCGGACGTCGTGCGAGTGTGCGTTGTATAGGACGTTGCATATCACCTGTCGCATGTCAATAACATACAAAGACGAACAAAATATTTTCAAACGCTGCGAGAAGTTTATTAAATCCCTATCATTACACACAGCTTATTCTCGACATATTTACAAAGGCTACATCTCTCCGTGAAATGAAAAGAAAATTATAAAATATAATTTACACTGATTTTATGCCAAGCAAAGCTTATAAATTGAAACACAAAAAAATCAGCGGTTATTGAGAGAAAACCAGAACTACTCTCAGAATTATGCTTGCAGGGTACTTACTAATAAAATAATAGCATGCAATCCTTGATAGATGCATAAACTGACTCGGGCAGCCCAAACTCACAGTCGAGAAAGAGGGTTGTGCAAATTCAACTGACGTCTCGTCGTCGGCGAGGAGCGGTTTTTGTCGAAACGCGCTCAACAAATACAGCTCAAGAATTTCACAGAGTCCTGCGAACAAAACGGCCCTTACCGAAAAATTGGCGTGGACGTATTTCGGCCGTTTACACTCAAAAAGCACGGCCGCGTCTGCAACGCACGAAAGCAACACAATTCTGATTTGCGCATTTTGGAAACCGGACCTACGTGGGCCGCCTATTTCTATAACTTGGCAAGCGGTGCAAACAGCAGCAACAGAGATCCCGTCAGCGCAACAGAGAGAGTCACGTGACATATTTTCGTCCAGAGTTTTTGCACTACGCGTCTACTGAGTGACGTCACGCGTTTGCTCCACACTTCTGATTTACTTAATGCGGCCATCGCGCTTGCTGACAGACACACGAAGACACAAAAGCAAGTGAGAAGCCTTAGCAAAAGGCGAGGTCGAAGGGGTGCGAACAATGCAGCTAAGCTTCTTCTGCATAATTTTTTGACTCCCAGTGAAGACATTCCATGCCTCGTACTCGATGCTTGGAATGTCACCTTTGTTTAGCGGGAGGCTGGGGGGGGGGGGGGGGGGGGGCGGTGAAAGTCTGTGAGTGAAAGAAGTGTCTGGATTGATGATGACAAATCCTTCAAATTAACTTTAAACAAATCCTCGCCGCCAGGATTCTATCTTAGTTCCCCCTAGTGTGAAGCGGACGCAAAACTGCACAGAGCCACTGTGACTATCGTTTTTAGTAACCACTAGGATTTGACAGTGCTCAATCACAACGCAAGACACGCACAGAGCCACGCTCTCTTTTGCAATGCCCCGCCTAATAATGATATCTGTTGAGGAGACGTGCGGAGATCAGTTTCGCGCAGCGCTTGCTCGATGCAAGCAGTTTCTGCAACGTCGAACCAGTCTCACTCCGCGTCCCGATATTGGCGTGTGTACCTACGCGCGAATACAACAATCCGGCGAAATCTGCGTTTGCGAAGCCTGGTCCAGCCGCGGCAAAACATTCAGCCCACTTTTGGCCCGAATAAAGCAAGAGGCACCCAAAATAATATCAAAAGTTGCGCGCAGAAGAAAACCTGATGTCTATTTAATTAGGTTGCAGACCACCCGCGTACATCCAGTACCTCATCAGCCGAACTGCAATGCAGTAAGCCTTGTTCTGGCACTTGTTTGGCGACTTTGTCCCGTAGCTGCCAGATGACAGCCGAACTATCAGGAAGCGAAGCCTAACTATGGCACTTGTTTGGTGACTTGGGTCTAAAGATGTCAGTGCCAGATGACAGGCGAACTATCAAAAAGTGAAGCTTAACTTTCGCATTTGTTAAGCGATTTTGGCCCCAAAATGCCAAATATCAGCCGAACTACTGGTCAGTAAGCCTAACTCTGGCATTTGTTGGGCGATTTAGGCCCAAAGATGCCAGATGACAGCCGAACTACCGGGCAGTGAAGCCTAAGTTTGGCACTTGTTAGGCGAATTTGGGTCAAAATACCCAGACTCTTGCCAATGAAGATCAGGTTTGGCACTAGTTCGGCTTCATCGGGCTTTTTGAGGCCCTAAACTCCCAAACAAAAGCCAAATTTTGGTCCAGAACTCTGTGCTACCTGGGATGGCTGGGGTTTCTCTCTTTTCTAGAAGCATCAGGTGGAAGGAGAAGGGTGTTAAACACGGTAGTGGAGGAAGGTCTTCAGCCGGTACGGAAGAAGCTTCTCTATTATTAGTGTCTTTTATAAAAGTCGACTAAGTCCTTGTACTGGGAAATCTTTTTGCCTGCTAGAAGCGTGAAAGTGAAGTTTACACACGCTCCTTCCAGTGTAGTAGGGAAAAAAAAGGAAATGAAACGGTACATGAGACACTTTGATCTTACAAATTTCGATGTGAATCTGAGCACAATTTCACGTCTTTTCCACTGACTGATTTTACTATCCCTCATGAGATTCTAAATAATAAAAGAGAGAAATATGACACTAAAATTTGTGCAGTAGTTGCAAGGCGGGTGATGCAGAAACGAGGATGATGATCTCATCATTCCCGATTTCGCGTCGCCTGCCTTGCGTCTGCTGCACTAGTGATAACTCTAGAGCACTCCCGTGCTTGCTACGTTCGTCAAGTCGTCCTAATATGAACTGATTTAAAGGTTTATTTTCGATAATAAAAAAGGCTTATTTTCGATAATAAAAAAGTTAAATATTAAATAAGCTCAATTATTTTGTTAATTATTAGGTTTTTCGCAATCCCTCACGTCTTGGTGTCTGGCAGTTTTTTTCGAAAATAGTTTTTTTTCTTCTTTCAAACATTGCAGTTTTAACAACGTTTTTAAGGTCTTTGCAGAAAACCTGCTGTAGTCATTGAGAATTCCAGGAAATATAACAGTAGGCATAAGTTAAAGAAAAATAACATTGATTCTGTATATCTCGACCACACAGAGATCGAAGTGATGAGTTAATTCCTTTTATTGAGGACGTGCTCACTGTATTACATTTCTACTTTGCTGTTAGTATATTCCATAAGGTATATCGGTGGATATCCTATCAGACTAAACATTGCTCAAGAAATTACAAGTCTGTCAGTGTTAGACCATTGAGTCACTAATAATGTTTCAGCATTATTTTTTGTGCAATAATGTTACACTAATCTTGACCATTTTTGTTTTCTGAGCGCTAAAGGTCACGCCATTTAAGAGTCAGTGAGACGGATAGTGATACCGTGAATTGAAGTGCCACGTGATAAAGGGCTACTTGTGACCCAGAGATATCAAAACCAACTCTTACAGTGAAATGAGCTACCTTGTCCTGATAATTAACGGCTCGAAGAAACAGTTATCACAATAATGAAACTGCGAGTAGACATCAGTATTTCCAAGAGTACATTATCGTTATATCGAGAAATGTCGCTTTCGAAAGCGGAACATACTTCAAACCTGCGAAGTGATAATTGATAAGAGGAGCACATGATTTAAGTTATCGATCTTTCCTTGATTAGATGGTCCATAAAATCCCCGACCCATGCGGGGCGTCTTGAGCCTGAATTACTCCTGCATAACTGGTGTTCAAGAAAGGTAAAAAAGGGGCACGCTACGGTTTTTATTCAGTTTAACTTTTGCAAATACAGAGCGTTATAGAGAAAAGAGAACCGTGGTTTTCGGCCGGTGTATATAAGCTATGCATCACAGAAAGCTCTAACTTTGTAAGAATGCGACGCTAGTGGTTGGGATAGAGTGCGACAATTTGAGAACATAACGTTTCCTGGTTCAAAACAAAGTTCAGAGGGTAAATTGTTTTTTATAAGCCGACGTCCATCTTTATGAGCCGACGTCCACGATATTAAGTTTAGGTGGACGTCAACTGATGAGGAAATTGTGTATTTCTCAATTATCTTCATATCCAGGTAAAACGCACGTTCTCAAACTTTCGCGTTCTATTCCAACCGCTAGCCTCACATTCTTACGCAGGTTAGAGCTTTCTGCAATGCGTAGTTTATTTAAGTGGTCCAAAAAACACGTTTATCTTTTCTCGGGAACGCTTTGTACTTTCCATACTAAAAGAACGAATTCCTTGGAGGTTTCTTTTCAGATCGAGTGGGTGGGACATTCTTGCCGCGAGCTGGATTAATATAGTTCATTTTGGGAGTGGCGATGCACCACAGTCACTGACCGCATAAAAAACGAAGGAAGTGATTTGTCGTGATTTAGCTTCTTGCCTCGTCATTTCTCCTTCGACGTTTTTATTGCCTGATGCCGCAACCTTATAGGCTGCGGAGCAACGATATGACACCGAAAACGTGCGACGTCCTAATGTTCTCAACTTCTTAGTGACTCTATTAAGTTTTAAAAACTCTGGCGTCTGCTCTGACCGGTCCTTTTGGGGTTATTTTCGTGTGGGTTCTTTCCCCGTCTGTCAATATTATGATCTGTAAGTAGTCATTGGAGGAAGAAGGACGCTAAAAGTGGGTCGAAACACGGTAACACTTAAATGCTTATACTTTGCCAGTATACGTAGGTAGGCCCAAGTTTTGTGAGATAGTTTATGCGAAATACTTGCAGAGTAGGGTTATGAGGTTTTTCTTTAAGCGAGGGTAAGGGAGAGTAGGTAAGAAAACTGCCGCCTATGATGGTTTTTTTTTTAAGTTTTATTTCAAAACGCTTGGAGAGATGTCTCCTAACATTGCTGCATATTTGGTGAAGTTCACTATGTGCTGAGTGTTCTCCACTTCGTTGCGTTCAAATGTGACGCCACGTTCTGCTCTTTTTTGTTTAAATTATTAAGATCTAGGACACTTGTAAACATCGTTACCTCTAAAAATGATTGGCATACCGCCAGTCGTTCATTTGCTTAGAATGATCAAAATGAGGTGCCTCCCGGGACTTGTTGCTATTAGGCAATTGTGATGTCATACTGACTTTTTTTATTTGCTTGAAATATTGAAAACTAGATAACCCTTTAATTCCGTTATAGGAATGTGACAGCATATCACCGTGCATTTTCCTAGAAATAATAAGAGAAAAGTTTATTTGGCGCTTCGTTTGACGACTTTCTGCTTTTAATTGCAGAACAACTGATCGATACCACAATACAAATAAAACTAAAGTCAAATATTTCGCTGCTGAAACAAACTCTTATTTTACTGACCAAATAAGTTTGTTTATTACAGTTTGAAGTTTATTAAAATAAATATAATTTTAAGAATCAATTGTGTGTAAAATTGTTTGAACTTTAGGTTTCGAAAACAGTTTCGATTTTCCACTCAACGTGCCTGGTTCTTTCTTGGCTCCGTGCTTATTACGTGAAAAAATGTTGAACTGGAATTTACTTTAAATGAAGAAAAACAAAAGAAAACGAAACGGGAAGTGTGAGTAAGAAAGATAAATGAAAATAATTCGTGCTGTCGAAACAAGTTTATGCAACAAAAAGAAACTACGGCCCCTTACACTAAAAGCCAGCCTGCCGTGGGTTTCGAGCGCAAAGAAAGGAGTGAGATACATGTGGTGACTCACCAAGAAATTTGTGTACTGTTCCAACCCTATGCCTTACAGCGTGTGCTCAGCTTTTTAATGTTTATTTTCAAGTACTTAGTTATGTAATTATTCTTGAACCTCACTGTTACTCACAAAATTAAGAATTAGCGAATAAATCACTGAAAATATGATAGTTTTTCTGCAGGCACCATGTACCGGATCACTTGCGCCATCCTCTTCGCCGGTTTTATTGCCGCCTCTAGTAAGTACATCTGGTCGTCTTCACGTAGTCTAGTTACACGGAGCTGTGAATCAAGACTCATGTGCTCATTTATAGCTCTTTGGTTGAAACGAGGAACGTGAAAGTGTTGAAAACTAAAACAAGCAATCAAGAAGTTGAACGTTCAACGTGTTTTTCTAACACGTGCCGGTGTGATTCTTTTCTCTTGTCCGTCTTCTGCGCGTTTTTTCTCCAAATAGGTGAAAAAGTCATAGCAGAAATAGCTTCAGCAGAAAACCCCATAGCAGTGAAATTGAATACTTCTCACAAATTGGACACCAGTATGGCGTTAGATTTTCTGACGTGCAGTAAGCGTAGATCACAGAACGTACTGAGCTCTCTTGGAGCCTAGTCAGCGATGAATCTCGCTATACCAAGATGAGAATGCGACTGCCTCTTTGAGACTGAGAAGGCGCTATAATCGGCTCCACAACACGCTCTACTCTTAATTCGGTCAGGGTCAGACCTTTAGTGTAATATTAAGACACATATTTTAAGTTTCTGCGGGTTCAGTAAACATAAATGCACAAAAGCGTCAATTTTAAGATATGAAGCAATAATCAGGCTCTGCTCCTTTGGCCGAATGGCTTATCACCGCACTCTGATGACTCGAGCACAAAAAATCGAACGAATCAAAAAGCAAGGGGTGTGAATGTAACTTGCGTCAGTGACCATAGATGAATAAAAACATTCACAAAACGTGAATGTTTATAAAGAGCGGTACAATGCAATCGTAATTTAACCTTCACGTAGACAGTTTTACAATGAACTGCAATACTAGCTAGCGCAGTGGAATGACACTGAGGAATGGCAATAGAGAATTTTAATAAGTCGGTACGATAACTCTGATAATGATACCCAATACTTCACCGACGCGTTTGCGCATGCATTGCATTGTTATCATGTTGTGTTACCGAGTAGGTTGTAACGTTATAATAAAACTCCCCAAGGATTTCGCAGGGGCGGATCCTGGCTTGATAAGCCGTTGAAAGTGAGGTTTCAATAAGCCTGCATAATTTAGAGCAAAGGGGAGGGAGGTTTGTATTATCACCGACAGGCTTCAGAAACGCAGGGCGTGTTTTGCAGTGAAGCTCTTTATGGCCGGGGTCCCGTGAATTTTTTGTTTGGTCAATAAAAACTGGGGTTCAGAATTCGATGCAAAATTGCTTCATGCTATCCAAAAGCTTACACTTCTCATCACTTGGATATGCATTTTGAGTAGATTAGTTTCCTATAGGGACCATTTTAAAGACAAGTAGATTCTCAGGTAGATGATAAAGGTTGCTCAAAGATTTGCGGCTGTGCGACCCGCGTCGGCCATGTCTACGCTCGCACCGCCCTTTCTTCGACGTCGCTCCAAGCGCTTGCGTGCCTAATTTCTTTTCCTTCTGCTCTTTCCGGGTGGCTGTCCCGTCGCGCATGTCTACTTTGCGCCGGGTTGTGGTCCCGTCGCGCGTGTGTAGTTTCCTCCGGCTCTTCCCGATGGCCAACGATCAAGACAAATAATCTTTTCGTACTTTTGTTCAAAATTCTGTGTCACGTCTGTCATGTGCTAAACAGATTCGCTGGTAGTGAACCTTCACATAGCGGAATGGCTCATGATTTTCTTTTTATTATGTTCGCGCTTTTTGCTTCGTAATTCATTCTACCGCGTACCTATCGATAAGTTCTTACTTAAATAATATGCCCAGCGCTTGTCACGCCATTTGATTCTTAACCAGTCAGGCACCATAGTAGGTAAGATAGATAAGCTGCTCAATGACGGCGAACTGTATACATCATTTTGTGTGAATGTCTTGGAGACAAGTGATTAGTTTTGAGAAAGATCGACGTTCTGGTCCTCATTTAGGAGCAACATAAACATCGATATATGAGGGAACAATTCGCACCTAAAGTAAACTCCTGTGAGTATAAACGAAGCAATTTTGTGTTCGGCTATTTAAGTGAAATAAACTAGTACGTGACACTAACCACAAGCATATGACGAGCACAGCAACGAGGCACGTTTATTTGGAACGGGCTTTTTCATCTATGCTAATAACCTTACCCTATTTTGGAATCCTGAAACTTTTAGAACTTGACAAAAAGAAAGGAAAAACCCTCTTGGATAGGGACTGCCGTAACGTTTAGTAGGTTTCGCATGCATACATTTTTTGGGGGACAAAAGTTATTAGTCCCCGATAACATAAGAGACTGACAACTTAACAACATGATTGGTTGTTGGACCTTCCTATAATCTAAGTCTGCAACCTCATTGGCTTTGTAGTGATATGATACCTGGTAGTTTTTTTAGTCGCTTTAATCTGTAAATGTGATAACAGGTCCTACCGTATACTGGAGATCGCAGCAAGGTAGTTAATTGGGCTAGTAGGTTTAGAGCTAAAAAAACAACATTAAATAACAGAAACAACAAAAACCAAAGAGCCAGACCGCACAAGACACATTGCGTTGTCTTACTTCTTCTTGCTCCTTGTTGTTTTCGGCGCTTTCATACTGTTTAGACTTGAGAGTGGTTCGGGACATGTTCCTGGCGACCTTATAGCGGATTGTCTTTATGTGTATTACCAATTTTTTTTATCAATGCTTAATCTTGTCGAGTGCAGCCGTACAAGGAACCCGATATGCTTCTTGAGAAACACGGACTTAATTAGTCACTGCAATAGTTTCATTTTGTGCGTTACATGCGGTTGATGGACAAGGTCTATACTTAGCTATACATTGGAAAAGATAGGGTTTCATCCGCAAATATCCGACCAGGATTTTTATTTTAAACCTCCGTTTTCGTCGTTGCTAATCGTTGCTCAATGGGGTGGAATTGACTGTGGTATCTAAGAATAAACATTGAATTTATTTCAGCTTGTCTCAGTGTGGCGCGTGAAGATGGTGATCTTCTGGACGCCCTTGCTCACAAGGATACAAAAAAGCTAGGCGAAGAAGCCATCCTGTTAGGCGAGATTCTACGAAAATGCGCGAAGAACTTGAAAAACGAGCCCATTATGGAGGAGTTTCCAGGAGATGAGGTATGACACGAATTACATTTATTTCTTCACGGCAATTGATGAATGAATTATGGGAAAAAAAATGTTCAGGCAATTTCTTTATTTCATTTTGCTAAAATGTCAATGGCTTTAAAAAAATAAAAAAACGTGTAATTTTATTGGTAGTTTTACTTAGAGCAATTTTATTTCGTAGTCGTTTGAAGAGTGGCAGTCACTTAACGTGCTCATTTAAAAAAAGTTTCTCGCAATCTTTCTTTTTTGGGGCCGCAGCTTTTTTCTAAGCAATTAAAAAGCGATTGCTAATAAATGGGGAACTAATAACTAATTCATACCGACCTTTACTTTCTTTTAAGCATGTTTGCTATACGTCATTAATTGAAACACCTCGTATAACTAATGGTTGTTCTAGAGGGACGTGTACAACAATCTGGAACCAGAGTCCACAGTCACGACGGTAGAAGAATTGAATAAACCTAAGCGGCGGGACAAGAATGCTTAATTTTTTATTTAGGAGCCGCTATGTGATTGAGTCCTTTCGCGAGCACCAGAATTTCAATTTGCCTATTTGCGTGCGCCCCAACTCATGTACGTATTCTGAAGTTGAGCGTGCCTCCCTACGCTTCAACATTACTCCCTTCTTCAACAAATGAAAGTATTAGGTGCTTTGAGTAGGCTGGCGGGATAACGAATCTATTCAGAAAACGTAGCCTTCGGGGTGCCTTTATTTTTCTTTTATTTTAGTTTGCTACGATCTTCCCCGAAGCTAACATTGCTCGCCACTCTTAGTGTTGTCTTCGTGCTTTCTTTGCAAAAAAATATTAATATCTTGTGATTGAAGCAACGATAGGAAAATCGTACTGACGGATCATTTTTTTTTGGCAATGATGCATAATCTCGGCTCGACTGTATCGCAGTTGCATAGCGATTCCGTAAAAATCTAAAGTTACTTGAGAGAAGAACCACCTCTTTTTGAGTAGACTGCGTTGCGCAAATTGACGTTATGCTGCGGCGACGCGGTGCTTATTTCAATCAAGAAGGTAACAGATGAGTGGCGGAGGATACAGGAGAGGAAGAGCACTTATATACAGCGATCTTAGATGTTACCAGTTTTCCCCGCTTGGTGTCGTTGTAACGCTACAAAAAATTATCAGTGCCAGTTGGTGATGTAACTAAACTTTGTTTTAATGTTTTTATTTTCAGGCGGAGGAATACTTTTTTAGAAAACTCTGGGAAAGTATCAAAAGCAGTGTCAAGGACGCAGTCTGGGATGCTAAAGAAAATATTAAGAATAGCGCAAAGGACGCAGCCATGGACGCCAAAGAAACGATATTGAACGGTTTCAAGAAGGCAGCGATGGACGCAAAGGAAAAGATCACGGAAGGTATCATGAACGCAGCCACCGAGGCTAAAAAAAAGATCAAGAACAGCATCAAGGATGCTGCCAAGGAAGCTTTAGAAAAGTTTAAGACATCAGCAATTGAGTATCTTGGAAAGAAGGCCGAAAATCTAATAGGCGGTCTAATCAACAAGCAGCGTGGCAGCTACTCATTGGAGGACAATGAGTCGTACGATAAGTTTGTGGCCGTCATATCCAACGATATTGACCAGATGGGGCAGGACCTCATTCAACAGGGTAGGAGGCTACTCGAGGAATAAAATTTCGAAGAATATGAGGTGGACTTTTTGATGGCTGTAGACAGAACAATTTTTGGTTCAGTTGCATTAGTCAGAGTGCACAGTGATGAACAAAACATAAAACTAGACGTGTGACTTATTTAGTACAAATGTTTTATACTGTGTATTGTCAAATAAAATTATTTTTACAGACATACAATACACATTTGACCATTGTGTATCCAAATAAGAAAAAAAAACAATAGCAACGAGCCATAAGCTCCAAATAGTAGTACCGACACGCATAAGTGCAACTAAAGAAAGAAAATAGTATTAATAAACATCCTGATTTATTACGCGTTGATGCACCAAAGAAAATTGATACAGCGTTTGCAAAAGCTCATCATCGCTGGAAAAGGCGTTTTCTTTACATTGTGGTTGAAGACCTGCTAGGGGGAATATTCTTCTGACTTCTTTCTTTAAAATACGCGGGCAATACAGTCATTCTCACGTTAGGAAACTTAGGGCGTGCCCTATTATGACAATGCTTCTCGGTTCGTGCTTGGTCTTTGGCGCTCTCTTCAGCTGATGCCGGAATGTGATTGGTTGCGAGGCCATAATAAGAGGGTAAGGAGTCGCCATACACAGCATTTCTTAAGTTGTCATTGACTATAGTATATTCGAGGTCAACCGAATGAGCGATGAATATGGACACTATAATTTACTCTCGATGGTTTAATTAAAATTGAGACAACCTTCCCATTTCTTTTGGAATGTAATTATTATGGGAAGGTAATTATTCAGATACTTAAAAAAATGTACGTTATATCTTTATAGTTGAAACAAAAAAAATCACTGTTTAAAAAAAATTAAAACAAATCAGTTTAACGGAGAAATGAAATCCGACGTACCAGAAGGTGATGCGTGTCAAATTGAATTTGATTTTTTCTAATATTTCGACGTTGTTTTATTGGCGGCACCTGGGCGACTAAGATATTTTCACATCGCAGGGAACGTTACTGGCCATTTTGATCGATAGAATTATGATTTTTTTTTTTGTTTTACCGGTATTTTCGTATAATATAGTGAACTCGCTAAGGTGAGCAACTTTGTCTCCAGTTTGATTTGCTTCAGTAAGCGAACCGTCGAAGATAATGACATAAAATGAGCGTCAGTGAAAATCTATGATGGTCAGCTATTTGGAGGTGGAATTATTGTCTTGGTTTTGTTTATGAAATAGATCATATCTAGATCCAAATTTGTTACAAATTTAGATTTTTGAAGTCGACTTTAAAAATATATATATATATCGCCTTAACTTCTTTTTTTTTGACAGCCCGTAAGGTATAGATATCAGACACGTAGCCAGGGGAGGGGAGGGGGGGGGGGGGGACATGGGGCTTGGGCCCCCCGAAGTCCTTCCTTTCGCTGGGGCCTGCTCTCCCCCTCCCCCTCATAGAGCACTTTGTCGTGTTCAGGCAACCCCCCCCCCCCCCCCCCCCCCCCCCCTCGAATCAAAATCCTGGCTACGTGCCTGATAGAAATGCTGGATACACGTTTTCGGTGTAATGTTAGTCATGTATTTCGGAGGCAACCAGTTAAATGAGCTACGTTTAGGATTGTCTATCAATTCTTGGTTGAAATATGCCGGCTTCACCACAATGCTACTGGCTGCCTCAACAATAACAGATGTTTTCAGAAGATACCTTACCATGATTTTTTCTCTGTTATATATGTTCGTAGTAACTCCTTAAATGTGTTAGGAACGTTACGAAGGGCTAAAATAAACCTTTAATTTTAACAATAATGCCACATGCAATCTAAGAGCAAGGTGAGCCAGACATCATGCTGCAAGCTTTGGCGGGATAATATTCTGATGCTAACAACCGCTGGAGCACGGTGTGACATGCGAGAAGCGCAATTGAAAAATGTGCACAAGGAAATCATTCATAGGGCGGCTTAGTGTCTATCTTTTGCGATACGTGGAAGTGTAAAAATATATTTGTGGTGGTGTGGAAATTATGGTTTCCACCTATAAACGCGCGGACTATTTTTGCACACCCTTGAACTATATAAAATAGGTTGAATATATTTTACTTTGTTTATATGCTTACATAGTACAGTAATAGCTGAACTGGCACAATGAGAAAACAGCCACTGTTATGACATCAAACAACACTTCATCGAACGTAATGTATCTGCGTTAATAAAATACGCAAATATAAACGCCGATAATATTACACAACAACCCTCCCCTTCACCTGTGTTCCCGCAAAGGCCCTTACGGAAAAAGCTGTCGTTAGCCCAGGTAGTTTGCAAAGTTACATATTTGTGTTCCTTAACTTGCGAGACACCATATAGGCACTAAATTACCGTTTATGCAGTAAGTTGAAGACACGCTTTTCCGTTTCCCAATCGCCGTGTGAGAGGCAGATGCCTTTTTGAGTCGGTACAAATCCCATTCGGCATTTTTGGTTTCGCGGAAAATCACTCACGTCCTCTTTTTTTTAAGTTCAAGGGAGTCACGCTTTTTACACTTTTCCACCTTGTTCACAAATTTGATTGATGTCCACATGGATGCGTCCGCAGGCAAACGAAGTTTGCGCACCGTCGTCGGATGCTTTTGAAGCTCCCCCAAGTCAATCACAGTCAGTCTTGCCTTGGCGCGTGGCAAAAAATAATTATATTCACCTTCAGAAGACCGGCTTGCTAAATCGTAGACCTGATATACAATCATTAAATGAACAGGCGCTCAGTAATAGAGTCACATATTGTTCGTACGAGACAAATAAAAAAAAGTAAAACAAGGTCAGCATCACAGGTTTCATAGTAATTTATTATCAGTATCTCTGGAGGTGCGAGAATAGAATACTAGCCTCTGCGGTAGTCCTTTACAAACGGTTGTTCTTTTTCATAAACTGGCGTTTGCTTCTTTTGAACAGGGTTATCGTAGAGATCGGGACGTTTGGCGATTAAGTCTTTGCCGAGCCTTTCGACTTCTTCCGAGATTGCAAAAAGGTAGTTGCTGTGGTTTCCGCCCTCATCTAGAGTGTAGTATCCACGCTCCCTCATCTTCTGCTGGATGGCTTCTTGGGCTTTCTGCCCCAAAAATTTCTTGCCGATTTCCGCGCCGGCCTTGCCGATCTGCCTAACAATCTTCTTGCGAAAAAGTTTCTTGAAGAAGTACTCGACAGACTGTTTGAAAGAAGATAAAAAATGCACGTCAGCATAGCACAGTTATAGCAATATTTATATGTATTGTGGTGCCCCATTATATCCAGCAGTTTAATCATTCGGAGAACTGAAATGCACGAAAATATATTTGTTTGATATTTACACAGGCCGGGCTACAACTGTGCCTCAATCAATCGAATTATTTGTGAAAGGTTGTTTTAAGGTTTTCTTTAATTATTTGCATTAGTTGCACATTATAGAAAATAAGTTAAATCTGTTCAGACGCAATTTTGTTTGCTTGAGTACAATTTTACGTGAAATGTATTGTAAACGTTTCTGACAGACAAAACAGTATATGCTCCCGACACTTGTAAAGGATATATACTAAAGGTTAAATTATCAAGGGGGTAAGAAGCTTTTTTAAAGTCAAAATTATCTGAGCAAAATTTAGAGTACTGAACTACTTGATTGTTTTAGTTCAAGACCTTGAAGATTAGCCTGAATAATGGCTTCGAAGCTACTTCAGGAAAAATTAGTTGAAATAACGTAAAAAGGCAGTGCAAGGGAAACACCTCTACAGGTTTTGACTGACTCTTTTGAATTTATTTATATATATATATATATATATATATATACATATATACGGGCAGAAAACGCACTTTAGACGATTGTTGGAGTTTTTAAGATATATTATTCGTAAAGTTCGTCGACGTTTCGGCCTGAGACAGACCTTTTTCGAGACTGGTTGCATTTGACGAAATATTGACACACCTTGGTTGTATCACGTGGCCCATGACGTCAACGGATTATGCTCATTCTAAACACCTGGCTCCTTGAAGAGCCCCATGTAGGGAGCCTTATGTGCGCTCACTCGACACAGTTATCGCCACAAAAGCCGATTATTTGGGGCCTAGCCCGAAGGATAAGCCCCAGCGTAAACCTGTCCAGAAAGAAAAAAAAAGAAAAGAAACTGTACAAAACTAGAAAATCTCACTGAACGAAAACGGAGAGGAAACCACAAAAATACAAGCGCCAATTGTGCGAAAAAAATCAAGGTAAAAAAAAAAAATATCAGCATTTGGGACAGGACGTCATCAGCGGTCTTTTCCGTTAAAAAGAAATATTATTAGACCGACCTCTATAAAAAATGAATCGTGGATGGCCTATACCCTGTGGAATGTATACGCTCACGCTAATACAGGAAGATCGTATATGTTCACCGCGTGAATGGAAGACTTAATGCAGGGATATTTATTGATCACGGCTTTCGTGAATAAGGCACGATTCTGTTTGTTCGCGATCTCGATTGCTTTTGAAACCAGACTCTAAATATGTAACCTGGAGCTTATCGAATGAGTGTTTTGGGTCTTTAACATGTTTTGAAACTGGGAATGTGGGGTTTGATTTTGCATGCGATCTGTGATAGTTAAACCGCAATCGGAAAGGTGTCTCTGTCTGGCCCACGTACTGCGCGCCGCAAGTGCTACACTGTAAAAGGTATACAACATTATTGGTGTCGCAATTCAAGTTGAAATAAATTTTGTAGATGAAGCTGGAGTTTGTACTTTCTATGGAGTTTCTCGGGTGTTACGTGTGGGCAGACCCCACATCCCGACTGTCCGCATGGCCGACTCCCAGTGCTCTCGGTGGCAGTTATCTTGGACCTAACTAAGGAATCTTTAATGTTGCGCGGGCGTCTATACACCACACGGGAGACGGTGGTAATAATTCTTGCGAGGCGTTCACTTTGTTGTAAAATATTAAAATGTTTCCTTACAATGGCGGTGACCTGAGACTTATAGCTGAAGAGTCAGCACGAGGCTGGCCTGTCGGCTTGTTTCCGCCTGGGGAACGCTGTCACCTAATATGAGGTCGCGATCGAGGGCGCGCGCCTTACTATTTGCGTCATTTATGATTTTTTCTGGGTACTTCGTTTTTTTTTTTTAAACCTCACGGAGTTGATTAGCGTCGGAGTCAAAATCATGTTATTAGAACATACACGTTTAAAGCTGTGAGCCTGGCTGTACGGAATACTGGTTCGGCAACGTGGAGGATGACAACTGTCAAAGTGCAAATATTTCTGGCTGTCCGTGGGCTTTCTATACAGTTGAGTGACCAGAGTTGTGTCCTTAATTATTACTCTAACGTCTAAGAAATTAACGTCAATTTTCGTGGAACTGTGTGTGAAGCGAATAAAAGGGTGCGCGAAGTAAAAATCTGCGACAAACTTGAGGGGCTCATTTTCTGCTTGTAACCAGACAAAAAACACGTCATCAATATCCCTTCTGTAGAACATCGGTTGGAGCGGGCAGGATGCGAGAAAGGTTGATTCTAGGCCACCCATAAATATATTTGCAAAGTTCGGGGCTATTTTAATGCCCATTGCGGTACTTTGCCCCGAACTTTGCAAATGTATTTATGGGTGACCTAGAATCAACTTTTCTTGCATCGCGCCTGCTCCAACCGATGTTCTACAGACAGTATATTGATGACGTACTTTTCATCTGATCACACGCAGAAAACGAGCTTCTCAAGTTTATCGCAGATTTAAACTCCGCGCACCCTTTCTTTTCGCTTCACACAGTTACTCGAAAACTGACATTAATTTCTTAGAAGTTAAAGTAATAATTCAGGGCACAACTCTCGTCACTCAACTGCATCGAAAGACCACGGACAGCCAGAAATATTTGCACTTTGACGGTTGTCATCCTCGACCTTGCCGAACCAGTATTCCGTACAGCCACGCCCACAGGTTTAAAAATGTATGTTCTAATAACGATGATTTTGACTCCAACGCTAATCAACTACGCAAGGTTTAAAAAAAAAAAACGTACCCAGAAAAAAATCATAAAGGAAGCAATTAGTAAGGCGCGCGCCCTCGATCGCGACCTCTTATTGGGTGACAGCGGTCCCCAGGCGGAAACAAGCCGACAGGCCAGCCTCGTGCTGACCTTCAGCAATAAGTCTCTGAATGTCACCGCCACACTGTTAAAAAGTAAAGCTAGTAACAGCAGCAGTTACTACCTCTTTGTGACTGTTACTAGCTTTCACTAACGATTTACTACCTCAAACGCGCGACAGGCAGCAAAAAGTTAGCAAATGGAGGAGTTACTTCCTTTTTCTCACTGTTACTACCTTTTTACTAGCTATTTACTACCCCAAGCGCGCGGACAAGATGGCGGCGTCTGCTTCATACCCGATGGCAAGCGTTAGCGACGCACTAACTGTTTCGGATCGCAGGGGGAGGTATCCACACGCAATCGTAGCGTCAAATATTTTATGGGGGGGGGGGGGGGGGGGGGGGGGCATGTTTAAAGGGATACTGAAGCGAAACTTGAAATACACCTATTATGGTCAGAAATAGGTTCAATATGATCAATGATATTCATAAATCATAATCGCGCGTTTGTATTTTGAACGGATGGCTATATTTTTCACCCTGATGGGCCCGATTGGGCGCGCGCTCAAAAATCGGCCATCGGAGAGCGCGATGCGTCTTGGGATATTGGGCGCATTCGTGACGTCACTTGTGTCGGTCGGGAAATGCTACGGCGTGAATGTTGTGGTTACGAGCGTTGCCACTTGGTGGCGCGTCGACGATTTACGACCTGTGACAACGTGGCCGTTTGAGATGTGCAAGGGCTGCACGCACGCTGCACCACGGGACCGCGGCAAGTCGGCAACCACGGCAGCACTGACAAAACCAGCTCTGAGGCCGGATTCTCAAAGCGAATTCACGACGAAAAAAGTGCGTACGACAAATTTGAGAGAAAACCCGTGCTCTCGAAACGAAATTGTCGTAACCTTTGCGCAGGTTACGACAGAATCCTACGACAGCTCCGAAGCTGTCTTACGCACTTTTTACGATCAAATCAACAAGGCCGACAGCGTCGCTCAGTTACTTGGTATCGGCCACCAACGGACATTTATTTTTCTTCGTGCTCTTCTCGTGCGTCCCGACTTCAACCAGCAAGAAAAAAGGAAGGAGTACTTAAAACAGACCACGACGATCAAGAACGCAGGATCCACAAACACACGAGAAGAGCTACAACAGTCACGATTCTGCCGACCGAGCGAGCTCGGCAGAATATAGTAGGCCTAGCAGCAACATCGACTCGGCGCACCGTTGCTCCGGCGGTCCTTGGCCAAGACCGTCTGTCCATGACCGGCTGGTCTGCTGAATGGAATATGCCCGCGCGGCCTTTTTGGACCCTTACCGGATGAGTAGTTTGATCCCTGAACTAAATTTCAGAGGTCAATATTTTCCCCTTGTCATCTCGATCTCCTTGTTTTCCGAGACAGCGGTGACGAACGCTGTCGTCGAAAAGGGGCTCTCATTGATTCTATCTCCTTGTTTTGTGCGATATAGAGCTCAAATAAACGCCATACGGATTACCTTGGCAACTCGGTATGTACACTCTGTTATTAGTATGCCATTTTTATTCTGACTCGACGCTACGTCAGTGTCGAGCTATAGCAGTTAGTGGGAGCTACGCGATGTCGGTCTAACCTTTCTTTGCCGAGTGTCATGTCAGTATCGAGTTGCAATCGTAAAAGATCGGTCCAGAAGCGCTTACCGAAACGCGGTCTAACAGAGCGAATCCAGCACTTCGATCAAACGCGCGTGTCCGCTCCGAGTGTGAACAGGTATTTGGCATTTGCGTGGCTCTTGCTGACACCCTCGTAGTTCAAACATATCCTTTTTAACGTCAGCTCGCAGCTCGCGACTCGCAGCAACTAATACCGGCCGTGCCAGAAGCATGCTCGGGCCGTGTCGTGCAAAGAGCCGCAACGAGAACGAGATCACTGTGGCCAACTACGCTTTGGCTTTCTCCGCCAAGGCTTTGCGAACGCGTTCAGGCCTAGGCGAATTCTGCCGGCACGCCGTATTGCCGCAGAACGGCGCTGCTATTTTGGCACAAGTGATGTCACGAGAACTTCCCCCCATCCACCAGATGAGAATTTGAAATCGTTTAATTATGTTTAAAATTAGTTCTCCTGTGTTTTACAGCGCAATATTTATATTTCCGAGGTGGTGCCTGTCCCTAGCCCATATTTATGCAACAAGATCGGCGCTAAAATTTTGTTTCACTACCCCTTTAAGGGGTTGGAGCTGACTTTATAACAATTGCAGCTTCCATTCCAGAGTTCCAGCACGTCGTGGAAGCCAGCGCTGCAGCGAGCGCAACAGCCGCTGTTGATGCGATGGGCACGCGGCTTACTTACTTTTCCTCTCGTTTGCATTCTGTGGTGAGCGTTTTATTTAAATTTTCGTTTTAAGTGGGATGAGTATAGCCACACAGCACGTGCTAAAAACGTTTCCGAAGACAAGATAGGCCCATTCTGTTTTATTTTTTAAATTTTATTCTTGTATTTTTTTAAAACATGTTTTTTTTCATAATAGACGCTTGACAACATTTTACGGAGATTTCTCACTGTCGCCCGTCGCGTCGCTCGTTTTTTTTTTTTTTTATTTCTAGGAAACGTTGCTCATCGCCTTGGTCGCGTTTTCCCGTCACTCTCATGCAGTTTGCTTCTCCGCGCAACTGACATAGTGACTCCGCAGCGGGACGCCGTCGCTTGTCTTTCGCTCGCCGGCTGCTATGCGGAGAAGCGAAGATATGGATGCTGAGGACCGGTGTGAGAAGTTGTTTTATCGACTGTCGCATACAATTTTCGTGTTTAACTTTGTTGTCTACTAAGAGATATAAGCCTTGAATCATTTAAAAACTTTCTTGAGGAAGGATATTGATGCGAAAAGAGCACTATATTTGCAACATTACTCACTGACGTGCTAATACACGACGACAAGTGTGCGCACTCAAATGGTCAGTATAAAATATTCATGGGCAGTCACGGAAGTTAGCGATTAGAGTAAGCATGTCACCTCTGTTCGTCATATCTGTGTGATCTGTGTTGAATGCATTCTGTCAATTGAGTGCTGAAAATGTGGCTGTGCAAGATATGCATCTACTTGCATATTAGGAAGACTTGAAATAAACTATAACCGGCTTCTTTTTTGTGTACGTTTAATTAGACGATGACTAGCGCCACCTGGATTACTCATCTCCAGTTTTAATTTTTGTTGCGCGTGCCAACTGGTGGTAAGTGGCATAACCACACATCTTTTTTTCCCCCGAAAATCACGTGACTAGTTTCTTTTCCGGCCTTTTGTGGAGAGGTAGCCGAGTTACTAGCTAGAGGTAATAATGTAGAGGGGTTCTACTTTGAGGCTAGTAACAGCTAGTTACCAGCTTCTTGACCTAGTAACCGCTACTAGCTTCTCCGTTACTACCTGAGGTTAATAGATATCTAGTAACATATGTGACACGCGGTTACTAGCTCTTACCTAGTAAATACTGCTAGCTTTTTTTTAAGCGTGCATATGAAGGAAACATTTCAATATTTTACAACAAAATGAACGCCTCGCAAAAGTTACTACCACCGTCTCCCGTGTGGTGTATAGACGCTCGCGCAACATTAAGGATTCCTTAGTTTGGTCCAAGATAACTGCCACTGAGAGCACTGGGAGTCGGCCATGCGGAAAGTCGGGATGTGGGGTCTGCCCACACGTAACACCGAGAAACTCCATAAAAAGTACAAACTGCAACTTCACCTACAAAATTCATAAAAACTTGAATTGCGACACCAGTAACGTTGTATACCTTTTACAGTGCAGCACTTGCGGCACGCAGTACGTGGGCCAGACAGAGACACCTTTCCATTTGCGGTTTAATAATCACAGATTTCATGCAAAATCAAACCCCACAGTCCCCGTTTCAAAACATGTTAGCGATCCGAAACATTCATTCGATAAGCTCCAAGTTATATATTTAGAGTCTCGGTTCAAAATCAACCGAGATCACGAACAAAAAGAATCGTACCTTATTCACAAGTTCAAAGCCGGGATCAATAAACATCCCTGCATTATGTCTTCCATTCACGCGGTGAACATACACGATTCTTCTGTATTAGCTTGAGTGTACACATTCCACAGGCTATAAGCCATCCACGATTTATTTTATATAGAGGTCGTTCTAATAATATTTGTAACAGAAAAGGCAGATGATAACGTGTTTTCCCAAATGCTGTTATTTTTTTTTGCTTCGATTTTTTTCGCGCAATTGGCGCCTGCAGTTTTGTGCCTGCCTCTCCATTTTCGTTCAGTCAGATTTTTTAATGTTGGACAGTTTTTTTTTCTTTTCTTTTTCTGCACAGGCATACGCTGGGGGCTTATCCTTCGGGCTAGGCCCCAAATAATCGGTTTTTGTGGCGATAACGGTGTCGAGTCGATCGTGGGGCTCTTGAAGGAGCCAGGTTATTTAGAATTACCATAATCCCTTCACGTCATGGGCCACGTGATGTAACCAAGGTTTGTCAATATTTCGTCAAATAAAACCAGACTCGAAAAAGGTTTGTCTCAGGCCGAAACGTCAACAAACTTTATGAATAATATGTTTTAAAAGCCCAATAACCGTCTCAAGTGCGTTTTCTGCCGTATATACTTTTCGTCATCCTGCGCCACATTTTACATATATATATATATTTCTTTTTATATATAATGGAAGATGTATAGCTGGTCCTCGCCTGATCATCGCGCAAGGTCGGGTGGCGAGCCTCCTCTTTGATGGCTTCAGCAACGTTGATCAGGGTCTCTCCTAAGATCTGGGCGTCTTCGTCAGTTTTCATGAATTGCTTGTTACCATTGATGTCTGACTTCTGGTCGCCATTTTTGTCCTTGGAGAGTGCTGTAAATTTAACAATCTATATAAGTACGGCATGCATTGGCCCTCTCCTAATAATACCTTCTAGTGGATAAACACTGCACTCAATTAGTGTGCTGCTTTAAAATTCTCATCTCTCACACCTTAAAGAGACTTCTGTACAGTTTGCTGGCAGGGTTGCTTCCTCCCTGTTTAATACTTGAGAAAACGTTTTATTTAAGCATAACTGATTTTTTAATACCAAGATAATCTAGCAGTTTGTAAGAAATAACTTTTTGAGAATGAGGGAAAGTGACCCATTTGATTATATCCTGTAAACCGGAAGAGATAGTTAAAGCAGATTTTTTGTTTATTTCAGGCCGCATCGAAGATATCAGACCAGAAACTATTGGCGTAGCCGTTCCTAAATGAAGTTCATCAGGATTTTAAGTGGCTGCAACAGGATGTCACGGTGATATAAACTGAACTTTAAATCTAAAAGGTCCACTTTCTCAAACGACTAATTTTACCGCTGTACCACATTTAATAATCTCGGTGAATATATCGCACATAAAATAAAACAAGACTGATCTCAGGAGAATTTAGATGGTAGAATTTAGCGTACGTATTCTGATGCAGTAGACGATTAGCGATTTGAGGTTGCATTTTTATTGTACACTCGAAAAAAAGCCCTAGCGTCTACTTTCACGCATAATACTTGTACAGCCAATCACCGCAGCTTAGGGAGGCAGCTCAGCGAATGACGTTGCGGAAGCATATGTTTAGACCAAAAACGCAGTCTGAGTTGTGACATTAAGCAATGCTAAACGTAACGCCTGCATTGCTTGATGTCACAACTCGGACTGCGTTTTTTGGTCTAAACATGTTTCCCCATCGGCATTCGCTGAGCTGCCTCCGTAAATTGTGGTGATTGGCTCTCCGAGCGTTGTGCGGGAAAGTAGACGCACGGGCTTTTTTAGAGTGTAGCTTAGAGCTGTCGTGTATTTTCTAAATAAATATAAACTAGTAAAGATAAGAAAATACATAAACTTATGTTTTGCGAATGGCTCTGACTTACCTGAGCATGCCGCGGCGCCCACGATCAGGATGACAATAAGCACTCGCTTCATGGTTTTCTAAAGAAAAAGATCAAAATATTGCAACATCGTATAAGAAGCCGCCGCTTAAAAAACTGCAGAAATAATTTATGCTGAAAAAGTACCTTCTTTGTAGCCTTACAATGACCTTCAATGCCCCGTTGAGGGTAAACGTAAATTTGAGGGAAAGCTTCAATAGAGTTCTTGAATTTTTACATGATGATCAGGTTTCTCAAGGTATCCAAATCCAAGAGTTTTATGCCTCCCTCTCTAGAAGGTGTTTTTAAATATTTTGAAATAAATTTAATCAATGAATTCAAGCTTTACTATTTTAACGTTTTGTATTTATGAAAATACTTTTTCCTTAGTTGTAAATAATAAAGTCGTATAATTAAACTTCAATGCCCGCACGCACTTTATACCTCCTAAAATATTAGGCTTAAGATCTTGAATTATAATATTTTAAACCTTGCTTATATGCGTTCCGTCATGCAATATTTTAAATCATATAAGAAATAAATATTTTAAATTACGAAATTGCCTTTCCTAACATAAATATAACAAATTAATAATTAAACAACGTCAGTCGCTTAAAGGGGCCCTCCAACAGTATTTGAGCTTCGACTTTTTTTTGCGGTTTTTACAGGCTAGTGGTCCCGGAAACCCAGTGGACAATGAAAGAGTTTGAAAATATTAGCGCGTCATATTTTAATTTGACAACTCGGAAACACCTCCTCCGACGGTGGCGCCGCGAGGTGCCGAATGCGCGCGCATAACGGCGCTCCCTTTCACTATACGTCACATTCTCTGGGTTTCGTGACTGGCGAGAGCCGTCCCACGAATTTTGAAGCGAAATAAAGTATATCACACGTTAACCGTCATTATTTCTCTAACAAGTCATTTTTATGGAGCTTATAAAGTTGCAAAGTAAAGTTCAAAAAGGGCGAAAACAACGCCTTGTCGCTCATGCCCGCCTCCCAGCGGCGTCCGCGACGCACCATCGCGAGCAGACGACAAGTGATCCGAGCAGACAACGCGCATCGTATTTTCACTTGTGCGCCCTCGGTCCCGGTCAACTAAAAGCAGTAAGAAGAGCCAGGGAAACCCTTATTTTCGTTTAGTGCTGTGACAGACTTTTCACTGTTCGAGTGAAGTGCGGCGACGGGACCAAGCTTATATCGTGCCCGACGGGAACGCTCATCAGTTTGTACCTCCTACTCGCCGAGGTGGCTCCGGTGGCGGAGTTGCGGGAGACGAGTCTTCCACGGCTGTCGAAGCGGACAGAGGCCCGCGGACAGAGGCCCGCGGCTGTCGAAGCGGACAGAGGCCCACGCGTCGCGGCGCTTGCGTGGAGTGTCCTCGTACGGCGCGACGCCCAGATCCGCACTCAAAATCCGATAATAAGCCTGGTAAATTCATCGATGATGGCAACCCGATCCCAGAGCTACGATGGTTGCAGCTAGGCCTAATGGCCGACGAGCCGACCAGGGCCGACGGGCTATCAACCAAACTCGCGTCCAATTGGCCAACCGCTTTGCTCCAATCACTAAACTGTTTCATTTGAGGTCATGAAGCGCAATGTTTTGCTTATTTAAAGTTTGTTTTCTGCAATATTTAATTTGCTAATAACTCGCCAAATATTGCAAATTTCTGTAATATTTTTTTTCCTCGGTGTTCCTGCTTTCATGGAGCTCCGTTTCAGCGCGAACTTCAAACCGGTCAAAAATTGTTGGTGGGCCCCTTTAAGCGAAGTTAATTGGTTACTGAACTTCACATACACATATTTTAGAAAAAAAATCATTAAAAAACGCATATAAAAATTGCCTCGTACAAATATGATGTCCTAGGAAAACTTACCACTTACAGATGCACTGGAGGTTTGCTTTGAGACTGACCCCGCTGCCTCTTTTTATAATACAGAGGAAAGGGATTACTTGTCCTTCGCGCGGTCTAGCCCCAGGGGAAGTCCTGAAGCCAATTTTCAATTGTCCTTCGGTGCTATACGGGTTTTTCCGGTCTCGGGAGTTCAACATCAGCTACTAACAAATCTTATCTTCTGTGAATGCATGATATAAAATATAAAAGTAGAGTGCAGTCCACCCTCGTGAATCAGTACTTTATCAATATGCTTTTTGGGGAGGAATAATGGCTATCGGGAAACAGTCGCACATGAGTATCTCGATGTGCTTGAAAATGTCTGACTGCAATATCTGTATCGGACCGAGGTGAATGTCCAGGAACGTACCACGCGAGCAAAGATTACTTAATTTCCTCATTGGTCGTAATAAAATTGCCCAACTTAACTCCTACTTTTTGTTGAACAATTCTAAAAGTATTAATCCTTTTAGAGCGCAGCTCTTAGGCGCCTGTTTCCGGCTTGAGCGGCGTCGGCGTCGCCGTCGGCGTAATTGCGCGTAACCCTCGTAACCCTCGTGAGGGTTACGAGGGTTACGAGAGTTACTCTCACGAGGGTTACGAGGGTTACTCTCGCGAGGGTTATAAGGGTTACTCTCGCGAGGGTTACGAGGGTAACCCTCGTGATCCTCGTGAGGGTAGCAACCCTCGTAACCCTCGTAACCCTCACGAGGGTTACGAGGGTTATTATCACGAGAATTACGAGGGTTACCCTCACGAGGGTCACGAGGGTTACCCTCACGAGGGTCACGAGGGTTACCCTCACGAGGGTCACGAGGGTTATGAGAGTTACCCTCACGAGGGTCACGAGGGTTATGAGTTACCCTCACGAGGGTCACGAGGGTTACCCTCCCAAGGGTTACTAGGGCTATGAGAGTTACCCTCACGTGAGAGTAACCCTCGTAACCCACACGAGGGTAACGAGGGCTACTCTCATGAGGGTTACGAGGGTTACCCTCACGAGGGTCACGAGGGTTATGAGAGTTACCCTCACGAGGGTCACGAGGGTTACTGTCACAAGGGTTACTAGGGTTATGAGAGTTACCTTCACGAGGGTTACCCTCACGATGGTCACGAGGGTCACCCTCACGAGGGTCATGAGGGTTGCCCCCCTGAGGTCGCGTGACCCTCCGCTGAGGTCACGTGACCCCCCTGAGGTCACGTAACCCCCCTTAGGTCACGTGACCCCCTGATGTCACGTGACCCCTCCCCCGCCGAGGTCACGTGACATATCCCTCAGTACCCTTGCATCCTCCTCCTCAAGAGCTGCGCTCTAATCCGGCGTTACAGGGAGTTGTAAACGGCTTTCATTTTTTCGTCACCTTTCTTATTATACGCCTGAGAAGATTGACTGCACCGGAAACATGCTTAGAAGCAATTGTTTAGAATCACGGCCATATAAATGTGCATTATTTGCTACCGATGCAACGCTTGATAGGCAGGAGCCGATATTTTATAGAACAAACGTAGTACACAGCCTTAGAATTATATTTTTTCGTTGAAGACAAACGCGAGTCTTGTAATTAGACCTCCTGACCACAACGTGCCATGTCCCATGTAGAGGTACTGGTTTCCAATAATAAAAATGGTCTCATAATTTCTGTTAGAAATTGTTTTTTTGCGAGAAAACAGAAAACATTAAAACGATCTGAAACATTGTATTTATATTATGTTTCTCCGTAATAATAAAAATATAAAACGTTACATAATATTAAGTTTACAATTGTTTTTTGGTTCATTATAACTTATTCTCGCATTTAACTTCGTTCTCTGATAAAAACCACACAATTGAAAAAAAGGTATAGAGGAGACATTGGTGCTTGTGTAACACCACGAAAATTATGTTTTCATGGCGGGCAAGACGATCGTGCGCCAAGTACCACATGCTTGTTCGGCCTCTATATAATGAGTTTATAGACTCATAGTATACACTGCTTGTCAATTATTTGTTGCCGTTCGCAAATCAGGCAAACAATATGGCGCAGTTAAATATATTCGATATGAATGATGACAAATCACCAGATGCATGGCAATTTCTAGAATTACTGACCTTTCCTTATAATCGGAAAACATATCTTCGACATACGTATCAATGACTTTGGCAGTCATTTGAGGTCTGACCGGAAAAAATCACGCAAAGATAATAGTAGTTTGACCTGGCGGTATTTGGTCTGCGCCTAAAGGTCTGCTGAATCTTATCTGAGGATAAACCCTGCGATTGACAAAACAGGTATATAAAAGGATAGCTTCGTATAAGCTTCGACCGAAGCAGAGTTTTATTGATTGTCAACGAGAGGACTTCCAAATCAACGTTTGGAATCAGGTCTGTTCATTTGATTTCAAAAGTAGCGAGTTTGTTTATGAAAATAAATTATGCAAGTCCCGTTACTTCTTTTGTTGCTCATAGCCACTGAGAACTTAAGGATCGCAGGGCTTAGCCTATTGTGTTCCCCTTTTCTGGTTCCTGATTGACTCTTCGGAGTAATTGTCGGCTAAGGCTGTAATCTGATTGGCCGAGGAGCGATAATATGCTGCTCAGGACCCGCCACAATCTAAGCCTCTTCAGCCGTGAGTGACAATAGTATATAATATTTGTCATGTTACCTTGTGTTATGATTGTCAATGTTGTATTTGTTGACTTGTCAACTTTATTTAGAATGCATGCTTTCTAAATAAAAGTGCTAAAAGCTAGTTTTTTTTAACCAATACTCATGCGAGTAATCGAGTTGTTCCCAAAAGTTAAAAAAAGAGTGGAACATGTTTATTATGTTCAAATAGCAAAATATTACAAGAGCGTGAAGTGCGTGGAAAATGATTTAATTATGCATGTTTACGTGGTTATGCTTGATAACGGAACACTCTAAGAAATGCCTGCGCATCTACTTATCCGCAAAGCACGCAAAGAGCTAGTCTCTGCGATTTAGGAAATCAGCTCAGCGAATGATGAGGCGAAACATTCGTTTAGGACCTAAAATTGAAGTCTGCGCTGTGCTAATACGCAATGCAACGCGTCATGCTTGCATTGCACAATGCCACAGCGCAGAGTTTATTTTGAGGTCTAAACAAAAGTTCCACTTTATAATTCGCTGACCTGATTTCGTAGATCGCAGAGATTGGCTGTCCGAGTGTTTTGCGGGTAAGCGAACGCGCAGGGGTTTCTTAGAGTGTAGTATCGCTTTGTCAAGAAAAACAATGCTGGAGCTACTACTCACTTTTTAGTTCGCTTGAAACTCATTGATGTAACGTGGCAAATCCGTCATAAATAGGTAATCCTTAAATAAATAACACAATAAAAACATTCCGCCTCTGCAAGTCTGAGAAACATTTTTAAAGTTTCAAGAACGATAAAAGTAATGTAGCGCTACTATTATCGCCGTGTGTAGCAGTTGCTAGTATTGTTGAATAATCTTGAAAGGCCTCCCTTTTGATAAAAAAAAAATTGTAAGAGCAAGCGTCGGAAAAAATGCAAAGTTGGCTAACCTATTTTTTGACTAGCACTAAAATTTAACGACTTATGCAAACAAGATTGCAGAATGTTCCAAGTTCTCAACCAAATGCCAAAAGACACCTGCATACTAGGAATTGTTAGTTTTACAGTGATCGACTCTATACACTATTTGTGATGCCAAATATAGAAGCAATTTGTGAACAGTGACAATTGATTAGAACGATGCCAGATTTTGTTGGTGGGACGTCAAATTGTGCCATAACAACTGTCTAGGATCAAGTATTAGAAACGTAGAAAATGTATTTAAGATTTGTGAGTGTTTCTTCTTTTTCTTTCTTTGCAGACAAAATGAAACCCGTTATCATTGCTGCGTGTTTTATCTTCTGCGTCGGTGTGGTCTGTGAGTAGTTTAAGTGCATTTTTTTAGATGTTAAACGAGTCTTAAAAAAACTCCAAAATAATTACGTTGCATGCATATATTGCGAAATTATATATATTATTTTCTTTTGCTCTGCAGGTTGCCGCTCTATGTAAGTATCGGCTTACTGTCATAAATCCGTTTTTGTTTTGTTTATTTGCTTCAATAATACACTGCGATATTTTTATATCTAGAAACGATGATGACAAATACAACTCCCGTAAGTAACGTGGACCTTTCGAAAGATTCTTGCTCAGACAGCTAAATTACTTAGCTATTTAATGTTTAGTAACATACACATTAATCGTTAATTTTGTTTCTAACAACAGCGATTCCAATCATCCCACCACCAGTCTTTGGGTTACCGAAGCACGACTTTGAGGAACAGGTTTTGGACGACGACTACCGAAAAAAAGACACAGAAGTGGACGAGTACAATGGTGATGATTCCCAAGAGAACGAGGTCCCTGCCAAAAGAATTGGCATGAAGGAAGCCGAGCATAGGAGGGAGGTAATTCAAATTTTCGGCGCAATTTGGGGGGGCAAAACGAAAACCCCAGCCTTGAAAGAAAAAGAAAAAAAAAGCTATTCAAATTAAGCGTTTGAGATGTCATTGTTAGTGTCATATTCTTGCCAACATCTCCAAGGTACATTTTCGGTTTGTACGCGGTGCATAAGGAGTGAATGTTTTAGTTTATTTTCTCAAAGGTTCTCTCCATTTGGGCCAGGTAATAATCAGTTCCTTTGCAAGGGGCGCATTGCAGTTTTTTAGGTTATATTAACTCGGTTCACGGCAGCTCTTCTTGTGATTTGCAAACATTGGAGCATTTAAATAGCGCACATTTTTGTGCTGAGAGCCAACTGAGAGCATACACTGCAATCATAAACCAAACCGCAGAGGGGATAAATAAGGTTAGCTGTTGGATACTCAAGTAAAGTTTGCAGGTGATTAAAAGCGCAGGTTCTTAGCATACAATTGGCCTTCCAAACAGCAGAAATTAAATTTTCATGAAGAAGTAGAGGTCTCTAAATTTTTTGTTTAATGGCAGGGCCGTGATCATTAGTCCTCAAAGGCTTGAGTTTCACCTTCATTTCCCTCTATTAGGTTTGTTAGGAGTATTACTTCTTCGTTTTAGACCAGATTTGGCTGAGTTGTGAAAACCATTTTAAGAATGGTTGTGTACGAAAATAAATATTTAAAACAGTTCTTGAGTCGCTTCATTTTTTAAAATTATCGGCTTTGAGTTTTTTGTATAGCCCCATTCGCCATAATGATAGGTGCTTATGTGAACTTCTTCGATGTTTGACAGTGTTAGTATATATAGGGTACTATGTTTACTACAAAATGAGGCATGATTTACACTGAATTATTGCTTCTTTGCAGGAAGGATATGAATAAGAACCTGGAACTTGAAGAGGATTGACGCCCATCATTTGAGGCATAAATACAATAAAAAATATTATGATATTAGCGTTGCGTCTATGAAATTAAAAAAAAAAGTTAAACGTTATTATAACACGAACGTCTAATCCTAAACGATGATGGAGTCTTGGGCGAGTTGGTGATTCATAATGATTAAAAAGCGCAACAGAACGGACAGAAAGGAAGACTGTGTCTTTCTATTTGTCCGTTGTCCTGTTGCGCTTTTTACCTGTTACAAATCCTAAAAGTTGAATTGTCGTCATCTTCTGATTCGGATAGAAAAAAAAAAAAAAAGATTTATTTTCTATGAAAATTGGTATGTTGACTAAGGCACCAAAACGAATAAAGACAATAATCCTGAAAAGCTATCCGAAGGGACACACCTTCACTGTTAGTGTTACAATTATAACAAATCGAAACCGATTAGAATAAAGAAACTTTCGAATGGAAGAAAATGACAGGAGGCAATGTCTGCAACTTTTGACACGTCACCCTCCCGTGGCTCTTCAACTCGTAAGTACTTTTTGTCCCTTCCCAAAGTGCCGGGTTTTTCACAATACAACTAACTACCACCAGACTTCCTGCGCATTCACTGCCTTTCCTTACTATGAGAAAATTAACTGTATATATACAGCGTGATACTTTTTAGCCTAACATAATAGGGAGTTTTAGTAGATCGTTTTCGTGCAGCCGCTCTGGAGAGCGGAGCGCGGAATCGCCACTGCGCCTGCGCGCCGATGGCCTTGGCTGTAGAGTTCCGGGTAGCGGAGGGGCTTAACGGAGCGAGAAACACGGTTTACTAAAACTCACTATATGTTTAAAAAAACGCGTGACCGCACCACCAATGCTGTTTGTGCACGCGAGTTATACGGCCAGGAGGACAAAATATAAGTGGACAACTGTCATGATTAGTCCACAAATGAACCAACATGGGTTAATTAACTTTTTACTTAGTGTAAATAGACATATGGTTTCAATTCAGAAGTTGCTGAGCGTCATCGAAAACCACTAAATCAGGTACCACAAAAAAGACTGAGCACGTGGGAGGGGCGGCAGTGCGATAAAGTAACCACTGGGACAAAACTGGGGCTATTATAAGAGACAGGAAAAACCCACAGGCGCCTTATCACACCGGTCGCCTTGTTCCTACCGCAAGAGTGGTGACTTTAGCGCTCCCCCGTGCTTCCGACGAACTTCAAGTCTCTCTAATATGTTCTGCTTTAGTGGTTTTCAATGACACTCAGCAAGTTTCTAATTAGAACCAAAAGTTTATTTTCAATAATTTAAACGTTAGTCCGCATAGTTAGTTAATTAGCCGACTGATCGTTACGATTAGCTTTTTACACTATGTCCCTATTGCCGTATAAATCCCCTGCTCTAAAAACGTTAGTCTAGCTTCCCGTCTTTATTTAAACAAAAATGATCACCCATATATACGTTTTACTTTGTGTATTCTGTTTTCTTTTTTACTTAAAAAAATCAATTTCAGTCAGTGCAAGAAGTAAGCAAATACTTCAGAAAAACGAAAAAGAAAACTGGTAAAGCGTGTATATCGCCCGCTTTCCTCACATGTATAGCTGAATAGTGAATGTTGTGAGTCGTAATAACGTGAATAAAAACTTACATTTCTAAATCAGTGCAAAGAATTGCGTAGGTTTCAAAATGTCTTAAAGTAGTGGTCTTAAACTCATTTAAGTGTGGGGGCCACACAGCACACACCGGAAAAGTCGAGGGCCAACGCAACACCGGGTGGTGGGCGAGGGGGGGGGGGGGAGGGGGTCAGAAGACCTTAAGGAGACGAGATCTCGTGCTTTACGCACTTTGTGAGCTCACCATTTTGCCACTGATATTTTTAGATTTGACTTTTTTTTATATGATTTCTTTGGGGACTGACCTCATGTGATAAAAAGAATTAAAGTGACAACGCCCGACAACGTCCTGGCTTTTTTAATGGAACAAGAGAACAAGTACTCTGTAGTTCTCGCGTAGCTGAATTCACTCAGGAATTAACAAAGCTGAACATGTATCTAAAAAAAAATCAGTTAATTTGACAGTTCTTGTTTTCCCCTGATGATTTTATTTCAACACTCTGCACAAATACTTGTGTATTTATGGTGATGTGTTTATGAAGGCTAGAATCCCGAGCTCGTAGCTTGATCTTTGGCAGCTACTGCTGCTGATACAGAGTTCGTACAGCCGAGATGCAACGTTTAACGAATAGCTCGCGCTTGCAGCAGTAGCGGAATTGTTGTACATAAGAAAGAGCTGGGAAGCAAAAAATAAAACAGAAACAGGGCAACTGAACACAGATAAGTATAAACTATGTGAATACGTTAAAAGAGAAGAGCTACTTTTCAAGCGAAATGAATCGGCGAGATGAGATCACGATGGCGCATGCCATTTCTAACGCTCTAGACATGGGAACCGGGACTCGTAGCCGATTGCCTGCGGGCCGCGTCCCAGCGAGTCGATGGCTGCATGATGCCCGCGGGCCACCTGTTTGAAACCGCTCTCTTAAAAAAAAACAAAAAAAACAAACACAGAGATGAAAAAAAAAATTGAAAGGACACAATTGAGGAGACGTACCTTTTTATATTTTTTCAAAAAGAAAATGATTTCAGATGCAATTTAGTTGGAGGACATGGCCCTTTCTTAGCGCCACCCGCGGATCAGTGGCCCCGCCCATTACTACTGGATTGGCTTGGCTGCTTGGCTGAACATGCTGGGAAACCTGTTGTCTCCATCGTCCCGACATCTGATGCGTCTAGTCTTGAAGTTTGACACCGGCTGCTAGTCGTGCGAGAAGACGCACTGATGCCTCCTCCACCGTCAGCTATTTTACACCGTCTATCGTCGTCTGCAATGCCCAGACGCGGACATGAAAGCTGCGCGTCGATGTCCGTTCTCGCCTTCGTTCGTCTGCTACTACTCCTCCGTCTAAAAGCTTCTGTAATGCTTGCATGACGCTACCATGAAAGCTGCGTTCTAGCGCTCCATCATGCACGAGCCCCGGTCCAATACAAGTTTTTCTCAGCGTCTGTCGACGATGTAGGGTAAAAGCGACCGAGAGGAACAAAAATAATCAACAAAAGCAATATATAGTTATCTCAGCTTCTTTGTTCATGTTATTTTTTTGCATGGCATGCGCGAGCAAGGTGGGTAAACCTCATGACGCACAATTAAAACGCGAACTAAAAATATTCGCATCGGTAGGTTAGATGTACTTTCTGCAAACCGAACGCCCGATTGCCCCCAGCCAAATCGGTCGCAAATGATTACCTCCGTGTACTCCGTGTCACTAGTTGTGTGCAGTGCAGGCGAAGACAACGACAAGCGAAGAGAGAAAGGGCGAGAGCTAGGAAGGCAGGACAGAAGAGGAGGGCATAGACTTGTCGCTCTGGGGCAGGGGGCGCGAGCGCGTCCAGAAGACTTACGCAAGACGCGACCATGTTATGCTGGCTGCACCGTCCGTGTGGCGCAGTAACGTTCGATTTTGCACGAGCCACGTTCGAATACAAGCGCATATCAGCATCTGTAGACGCGCAGTAACAAAACGTCCAAAAAAATAATTATGCAGCTGGCGGCCGCAGCGTCCCATTAAACATTCCTTTCATCTTTGCTTTCTTTCATAGCTTCCGCGAGCGCGGATGTTTCACTTAACGCGATAGCGAAGCCGAAGCTGCTCGCAAAAGCACGTCCTCTTGAACAATGCTCGCACTGCACGAGCGCGCGTGCTTGGCAGGGACGCTGAAAGCTCGCTGCTCGCTGTTGTAGCGTCTGCTACGCTGACACTTAGAATGAAACGGAGTATTAAAAACTGTTGTGGGGAAACTTATTGACGCATGTTCAAAACGCGAACCAAATATTCTATCTTGCTCCCCTGGAGCGCTGCTTAAAACTTGAGAGCTATGGGCCTATGAGGTCGAGGGAAGGAAAGGAGAGCACTATACTTCGTTTCACCTTATGTGCTAACGAAGGCAAAGCTGGAAGCGCGAGCACGGAAGGTCCGTGCGTTCAGGCTTTGCTCGAGCGCGCAAGCTTGAGAGAAACACACAAACGCGCTGGTCTCGCGCTTCTAGCTTTGGCTTCGCTCGCAGCTAAATTGAAACGAAGTGTAGGTACATTAGAGAGGGGAGAAGTTTTCTCTCCACCTCCCCAGCCTTCCTAGTGCTTGCGTTTTCTCCCTTCGCCTGGCGTTTCCTTCGCCTGTACTGCACGACCCAATTGTGGCTCAGAGTATAGGTATCTTCTCAGTACTAAAACCATGGTTGCAGTCACAATGGTCACAGAATCTACAGAGCAGCGGGGCCGCGTTTAAGGATACCAATACCTTTATTCAGTATCAACACGCGCAAAGGAACAAATCAATTAAGATCGACCAACATAGTTGAAGTGGGACGCTAAGCTCAGGGCAGTCCCACTACGAACCGAAGCAACCGCACAGCGCCGGTTCGGAGGGCGCGTACTTGCGACAGTTGTTTGCTGCGAACTAGGTCGGTTGAGAAGATCTTCCTCTAAACACCCCGGTGAAGGCAGAACGACTGGCACTCATAGATAGACGAGCTTGACGACCTGTTCCCGTTGATCACTCCGCAGACGCCGCCAGCCATGTTTGGTATCGTTTCAAACTGAAGCGGAAATAAAATCTCGGGTTATTTTTGAAAACAATATTGGCACTATCACGAACATTTGTCTCTCAAACATAAAACTATATTTAATTAAAAACTATTACGTCACGAAGATACAATTTTACAACCACCATTTCACAGCAGAGGGTACTACGCGTCGAAAAAACACGGACCGAGACACGAATAAAACAATGAGACAGGCTGCATTTAAGCACACTATTGCAACATTTCACACGCCAATCACCTCACCAACGGTATGAGAGGAAAGAAAAGGTCGGGCCGGTAGCCCTGTAACAACAGGGCTACCGGCACCTAAATTGCGTCTAACAACGTAATTATTGAAGTCATTTGTTTTTCGTGGAAAGATTAAAAAACAAAAATGTGTCCGATTCAGGCTCTTCAAAAAATGTTTTCATTTCTGTGTCTTTTTAACCGTTTTTATAAAGATGCACTATTGCTGAAAATTTGAGCTTCAACAACAGCCCACGTTTTTTAATACCTTTTGGTTTTGGAGAAGCTTTGGTCGATACGAAGGCCGGAACGTGAAGCTTATGACCCATTCTTTGAACTCTTGAACAAATTGTCAAATAATGTAACAAGTGGAAACCACGCAAACACACACAGGAAAAAAAAAAAAACCTACTGAGAACTGCAGCTTCTATTTTTTATGGGGCACGGGGGGAGGGGAAGAAATTAACAGCTGAGCAACTGTTTACGAGACTGGTTCTGTTAAATACACAAAGCTACTTTCTAAAGAAACAATGACAAAGTAAAAATTAAGCAACACCTTTTACATAAATTGCAGCAGCCAGGCTAAAGCGACGCGTCTTTCGAAAACAGTTCAATGTTTGCATCCTAGATTATTAAAAACTACCCAAAGGTTTGTTTTATAGAAAACATCTGCGACGACATTTAGAAGGGCGTGGAACTATTTTCTAGGTATTTTTGTTTTATGCATGCGTGGATTAATTTAAGTTTTTTTTCTTAAGTGTTTTAATTAAGACAGTAGCTACGGCTAGAAAAATAAAAAAAAACAACAATTTGTCAGTGAAATCCAGATTGGGAAGTAATGCGTTACTTTTTCAAGTAATTTTGTAAGGGTAACGTTACTTTTTTTGCGGCAGCGATTTGTAATGTACTTTCGTTACAAATTATTGGTAAGGGATTACTTTAATTACTTGAAACTAGTAAAAGGTATGAATATAATACAGAAACTAAAAAAATACATGCAGACTAGTCAGCAGAATAAGGATAGCATATGTTCAACAAAATAGATAACGCAGTAAAGAAGAGAAAAACTTAAAAGAAGATAGTTTTTTTTTGTGTATAACCGCTCCTTAGAAGAAGTAGAACAACGTGCAATTATAAAAATATGGGAAACACAAAACGCCAAGAAGACAACGCCGAGTAGTTGTTGTCTTCTTCAACTCCTAGCTGCGGTAGACGCTGCCACTGAGCGTGTGCGCCGCTAGCTTTCTCTGCAGAATTCTAGGAAATATTTCCGGTTGCCACAAGCTAGTGGGAGGGCGGGTGTGGTTGCAGCTTTCGCTGCCTTTTCATCTCACACGTGAACGGAGTGCACCTACATTCATTCTCTTAAAAACAATATTTTAATTTTACAAGGACTACCATGGTGCAGGTGTATGAGAAATGGAATGTAGTGGTTGCAGAACCTTTTTGAAAACATCAAAATATTTTCTTTTGTTTTCTTGATAATTGTTCGGGAAATGTAACGTGAAAGTAATTTATAACGTAACGAGTGAAATAATTCCTTACTTTTCGGCGAAAGTTATTTGTAGCGATAATCTATTACGTTTGAAGCTCGACAATTTGTAATTGTAATCTGATAAATTTTTCAAGCGTCGGGTACAAGTCTGGTGTGAGCGCACGATGTGTCACAAATTATTTTCACAATATCTAGCTCTTAAGTATTTTTTGGACACCACTTTTACAGTAATCCTAAGAAAGAAGCTTTTACTCTACGCTGTAACGTTAAAGGTACAGCCAGACGGACTCCCATATCATGCATGTGCAAGCCACGTGATTAAAAACTGCTTTTGAATCACAGTTATCCGATTGCATTGTGAACGTCTGATGAGCTATCTTCTCCTGATGCTGCTTTTCTGAAGTATCACACATATGTTCCACGAACGAATATCTATTGATATATTGAAGCGGCAAGTGCTGTGAACGCAACGGATAAGATGAACCTATAAGTTCTGTTTTCTTTGTTTTTTTCAATCGCGCAATGCATAAAATCACCAATCTATGCTGGCCGATTTATTACAAATCAATTGAGAGTTACCACCGCTGCAAGAAAGGTAAGATGTTTCATTCTAGTTTTCTATTGGGTTCGACATTTGTACGTACTTTTTGACTATAAGACTTTTTTTTTTTCATTCTGAACATAATGAATGTCCGGGACAGTCTTGTGAAGAAAGTGAGTTAATTTAGAACGTCTTACGAGCTCTATAGACTAGTAATGTATGAAAAAATATAATTCCTGCTGCTAACAGCAATTTTGAGGTTGCTCTCGCACTGATGTTTTGCAGGAATGTGAATATTACATCTACTAATTTTCTAACCAAGAGAAAGAACAGAAAAAGTTTCTAAGCCTTTAAAAATATAAATTAATTGATATAATCATTCATGTATGTGTTTATTATCTGTGCTCATGAACAGTTATCGTTTATAAGGGGTATACACAGGTATACCCCTTATGTCACCTCGTCTGGGGAAATACTACAATGGCAAATTTGAACAAGATACTTATGCTACAAAAAAAGATGCTGCGAATAATATGTAATGTTTCATACGATTACCCCTGTAAACCTCTGTTCACTAAGTTAAATTTAATGCATATTTACAATATCTATAAATATCGGTTATGTCTAAGTTATAGGTCTGAAATCAAAAATAATGCTATCAATCTTAGTGAACTAGCGTCCTTATCGCTGAAATTGACAACATATCCCACTCGTAGCCTAGACAACTGGAAAGTCCCCAGTTGCAGAACAACCTATGGTGAGGAAATGCTATCCAACGTTCTTCCGACCCTACTTAATTACCTTAATACTCATCATATTGATCCTTTAACATCAACAGTAAAATATATCAGAGGATTTTTCTTTCTTGTAGAGTGAATTGCATAGAAAGTGAATATTCCACTGAATGTCCTCATTTATATGTTACATTTATATTCGTTTCGAATGAATTTAGTGGATGAGTGTAGTATTACATACTCGTGCTATATATCTTGAATCTTGATTGTCTTTAATATCTTGCACCCTTAAATTTGCACATAAACCGTTTGTTTAGCAGTGCTAATTTATCAGTTACATTGAAATGTTGTACATTGATTTACTAACCTGCGTTTTTTTTTGTGTGTGTGTGTGTTTTTTTTCGTTTTGTTTACAAAGTGATGCATATCTTTTGTGACCTGCCGCTGTTGCCAATTGGGGAGGGGGCTCAGGACTCGTCAAGCTGCACAAATGCAGCTTTTTTCCTCCGTCCCCTTCCATCATGTACTTGTGCTTGATGGAAAAAATAAACATTATTATAGTTAGTTTTGTTATCAGTCGGACTAAAATGCCTGAAATTAGGTTTAAATTTTTTTTTTATAACATGAAATTACTTGCGAGGAGATAATAAAGCTGTGTACAATAGTACCTTCTTTCTAAGTTCATCAGAAAATATTTACGCCAACGCTATCTGACGCTGCAAGATTCATGAGGCTCAGGCTGGTGTTTGGCGTTCTGCATTTCGTTTTATTATTTTAAATGTAATTGAATACCACATTTTATCTTTATTTATCTTAATATATTAAAAAGGTCTTGCCTGAGTTATGTTAGATCCTCTCAATATGAAGGTATACCGCATTTATGTTTCTAGTTTAAAATATAAAAATTTATTTAATGATTTCTCCTGTTTTCCAGTTTTTCGGTTAATCATGATGTTTAAAACCCGAAACTGCGGTGACCAAAAATATAGGAAATTTTGAAGTTGAAGAAAAGGCCAAGGAGGAAGACGCCTCCAAACGAAGCTTCCGTATTTACTTGAGTAATAACCGCATTATTTATGAAGAAAACCTGAGGGTTCGCTTTTCCGTGGAGCACGCGGATTGCCAATCACCGCGATCGACAGCATGATTTCAGCTGTCTACAGGACAGAGATAACGTCTTCGCGCGAAGATACCATCTATGAAGATTGCATTTGCATGGAGACTCGTATTCTTCATCTAGTTATTCGCTATGTCATTTATGCAGAATGCGATGATTGGCTGTATATGTGCTATGCGGGAAACTAGACGCAAGGGCCTTGTTCATAAATAGTGCGGCTATTACTTGAGTAAATACGGTAAATAGTTTATTTTCTATCGCTCATTATAAACCGTCGATCGACATTAACAACTCCTCTCCCGGACACGCACTTTGTTCCCAATGCACCAATTGGACTCTTAAAAATAACCATAGTAATTTTCGATAAAATCAAAATATTCGGTGGCTGAGTCATATGTATCTAAGAGCTCAATCGGTGCACTGTGAACATTAATGTCGGGGAGAGTAGTTGTTGGTGTCTATCGAGGGTGTATAGGGAACGAGGAGAAAATAAATAATTCAGCTGCGTTTGAGGAGTCTTCTCCTGTGACTTGTTTTTCGACTTCAAAGTTTCCTATGTTCTGCCTCGCCTCAGTCTCGGGTTTTAAACATCACAATTAACTATCACCATATCGCCAGCACGTTCACTGTTTCTTTCTTGCTGCAGAAAATTAGGAATACATTATCCAACTAACAATAAAACAAAATATTTAAAAGTTAATACGAAAGCTAATTTTTTTTTTGACAAAAAGGGGTTGTATGGGACAAGTGAATGTAAGAAACAGAGGGTAGGGTGGGTATAACATTATCGACATTTATGAAGAGCATCGTTCTAAAAGGGTATACTGCTCTCTATCATAAGCCTAAATATTTCTGTCCCCCCCTTCCCCCCCCCCCAAATAAATATATTGGTAACTTACTTTAACAATCTTCTGAATAAAAAGATCGAATGCCAACTCATTTTGTGAGATCCATTCGTGTCTTATTATCTATGCCATACCCGAATCTGAAACTGGGAAATATTGCAATTTGGTAGTGTCAATGAATATATTATACATTAATTTATTTATTTTGTCAAAACCACATTAAGCACTCTAAAAATATTATGACGTGCTTAAAAAAAACGCTATTATGCAGCACGTTGTAAGCATTATGTCAGCGTAGCTACTTACCTCGAAATTGACCTATCGCCCCATCTTCTTAGTCCTTAATTAAGATCATGCACACCGCGTTTTTATTTTTATTTCAACCACTGACTTATGCGAACCCTTTTGATCCCTGTGACACATTTTGAATGCTATCAGATATATAACAGAAAATATTGCGCCGTGTCGTTGCAGGCAGAATGCATCGGGTCACTGGGATCATCATCTGCGCTGGTTTTATTGCCGTTGCCAGTAAGTATATTTAGTAACGCTCGCGGACGCTCAATTGTTGTAAAGCTGTGAATCAGGCGTCTTTCTAGCTGTCGACGCCCATGCGGTGGGAAACATACGTTGGAGTTCCCAATCGGCAGCTCATTAATGAAGCAAATAAAGTAAAATCATATCGAAAAAAAAAATTACAGGCCATTCCACTCCGTGAAGTTGGATGATAAGCGAAGCTGTTTAACACATGACATAGACGGTGGTGTTTGCCACCCTCCCCCGCCGCTGACATTTTCGTTGCCGTTCCCGCCATTGCTCTTCGTAAGCGCGTTGCTCTTCGGGAGTCCGGACTACACGCGGCCTTCCCATTACGACGAGAGAACTGAAACTGAAAATGGAGAACGGCAACTTGTGTTGCTGGTGTTTCCCCCGAGGAGACGGAGGAAACTAGACACGAGCGACGGGACTGCAACCGTGGGAGAGCGAAAGGAACTAGGCACGCACGCGCTTAAAACGGCGACAAAGAGAGGGCGGTGCGAGTTTTTGTTGACGTACACGAAAAATATGGCTCCCGATCGATTTCAGCATGGTTTTAGGAGCAATACCACATGGCGACTAACATCAAACGAAGTTTTTAGCTTAGATGCGTCTGGAGTGAAACACAGTTCACTCACGCTCACGGAAAGCCCTCTCTGGGAAGTCTTCATCTCTAGCACCTCTCTGCTCTCGTGAACACAGGCGGTGTTGGCTCCTGCTTAGATAATCTGATAGCTTGCGATCAATTTCAGCATTGTTTTAGGCGCGATAATATATGGCGATTAACATCAACCGAAGTTTCTAGTGTGGATGCCTCTGGATTGAAACACCGTCCACTCATACTCACTCACGGGAAACCCTCTCTAACAAGTCTCCATTCGTAGCGCCTCTCTATAGTCTCGTTACACAGGCAGGGTTGGTTCCTGCTTCGATAATCTGAAAGATCTATTGAACATAGCCATAGACAGCTCGACGGGACCCCCAACCCGGGAGAGCGGAAGGAACAAGGCAAGCAAGCGCTTGGAACGACGACAAAGAAAGGGCGCTGCGATTTCTATTGACGTGCACGAAAAATCCACGGAACCCCAGCCATCAGCAGCATCGATGTAAAAAGAACAGGAAATTATTGTGCTTCCAAGGTTTACTACTACGTAAAAAGTCCTATCTAATTTTCCGTAAGCCTGTTCTACGGGATATCCCCCCCCCCCTCACGACATGAGCCTCCGACCAAAATAACTGTTTCAGAGAAAGTGAACAATTATCAGAGAACAGTCACGAGCACCTCGTTAGACATTCCGTCGTAAAGTAAGCGTGGGCTACCGAACTTGTTTATTAAAAGCTAAATGCACGTGTAATGCGGCGAATTTGTGCCGAGAAACATAAAGTAACAACGATTGTACACACTTTGACGGCGACGGAAGGACGTCTGACTCAAGCAGCCGTGCGAAGCCCCTTTTGTAAGCACGTGGGCATTTAGAAATTTCCGAGCTCGAACAAAGAACACGATCCTCGAGCCATCTGGAACATTCCAGTCATGCAAACAAAATAAATGTAAAAAGGACAAGCGCTGGTAAGGATTCAACCCCAGCAAGCGGCGCAAGAGTCGAGCACTTCGCTGACAAGATATTTCCAGGCGGCACTATTCTGTTAACGTTAATTGGGCCCTATTATAATGTCCAAACGCACCCTGCTCCTGTATGAATGAGACGCGCGCCTTTAGTTCAACTTTAGTTGAATAATTTTGACTTACTGCTGGTTTAGCTGCGCACAAGTCCTAGAAACGTATTTATAAATAATAAGAAAAAATATTTAGCGGCGCACTCTTGAGCAAAAGGGCCGGTCATTGTGGCTCTGACGACCGAAGCATATAGATGAAAACAGACGTCCAGATACGTCTGTAAAGCAAAGCACTAGAGTTTTATATCACCTAATCACAACCTTCGCGTAGTTATTATGCATTGGATAGCAATACAATCTTGCACAACGCAAAGTCTGCTGAATAGGGTGTTAAAGCCAGGTTAGAACCGCCGCAGTTTCATGTCCAGGAAGAGGAGGAGGGGGAGGGGAGGTTGCCAGGGTCGTAGTATAATGAAAAGCTACTCATTCGTGGTAGATACGCCTTGTAACTTTTACATTCACTTGGATGGCACAACATAAAATAATAGGTAATCAATCATAGAGAAATGCCGTTGACGTAAGTACAAACAAACACAACATTATGCTTAGTGAGCCCAGACTAAACCAAATATTAAATGACGTTTGGGCTTTTAAGCTAACTGATCAGCACGCACTGCTAGCCCAACGCACAAAGCGATAACTGACGTTTAGTGCAAATGTATGGCTTCTTAATACTAGCAAAGTTCCCCGTCAACGAAATCGAATTATCGAAGTTAACCAGCAGACATTTAACTGCGATGATTCACCCTGCGTCTCGTACAAGTACTCCCCCACAGACGACCGGTTCCTGACTTAACCAGGTTTGTGGGTTTTTCACGGCTTGCGACATAGATATGGGGTCTCTTCTAGTTTCCATCGTATATTTAAAATTATATCGAGACATGGTTCTGAATATTTCACAACGTATTATCTTGCAAGAATTTGATGACGTAAGGTGTTTTACTCGTAAGTTGTTCTGCACAGAAAGAGTTTTCGATGTTTATATTTTAAGCTCCTATCCGCTTATGTGCAGCGTGTCAATATTCAAAAAATTTTCGATCGTCTGTCTGAATAACGGCTTAAGCAGAGCATGAAGCTTCATTATAAGAGTAATTTAAGTATATTTTGTGCTTTATATGCTAATAATTGGCAAAGTCCATGCGTGGCTACGTTGGTAAGAAAACAATTTCTTCCCCAAAAAGCAGTCCAAAATAGTTTCTTTAAAAAAATGTCTTGCATTTCAGCTTTTGTATAAGAAGTTGACGTGGGCATTCATTATGAAACATCTGATTTATTTCAGCTTGTTTTAGTGCATCGTCTGAGAACGCGGACCTTTTAGACGAACTTGTTCATAAAGATACAAAGAAGCTAGGCGAGGAAGCCATCCAAGTTGGCCAGATTCTGCGAGAATGTGCAAAGAACTTGAAGAATGAGTCCAGTGCAGAGGAGTTTCCGGGAGATGAGGTATGACTACGATTCCATTCTTTGCACTTCCTGGGAAGAGAACCTGGATGAAATAAGCACGTTTTTTTACGTAATTCATTTATTACCGTTGACAGAAAGTGACAAAATTCTTCACCGAAGACTTATAATTTCCCCTACTGTAACGAATTTTCGCCTTTGTTTTTTTGTTGTGTCAAGTTCCAGAAATTTTCTTTCGAATTTTATGCAGACACCGAGATACTTAACGTGTCTCTCATTGTCTCTGACGACCTAATAATGCAGTGCGCGGTTTATCATTTGGACGCCAAATTATTCTTGATTTTTAGTTTGGTTTTCTTATTTGCTAAGTTCGCAATCTCATTTGTCATGGAGCTATAAAGAATGCCTGGGACATGTCACGCCCTGCGTTTCTAAATTTTCTGTGACTAACGAAATAACGTATTTTTCATCTTTATTTGTTGTGATATTTGTTTTTTAAACCAATGATGAGAGCATCTCTGCCCAGTCAATATTTACAATTTAGGTTCATTCACCTCATTGAATCGCTAAAGGGTTGCTCAGATAATTTTATCGCTACTGTTTCCATAACCGACACTGCCGATTTAAAACAGAAATTGTTATTCTCTGAAAGGATATTCCGTAGGGTTTGTTAGTTGTAAATTTTTACTTTTTTCACGTTTGATTTGTCGAGGTTTTGCAATTAACTCACTCTTCTCTGTAATGCCCTAGGACACTGAGGGATAAACAAATGAAATGAAATAAAAAAAAACGTACGTAGGGCACTCGAAGTAGTTAATTATTTGCGCATACAACTGATGCTGGTAACCTCTAGAACAACCGAGAACGATAGTCTATTCATTGACATTGTTACCGCTGCACTGCTTTCGCATGAGTTCCTGTTATAGAGAAAGACATGGTAGACGCTAAAAAAAAAGATTAAGTGAGTCGTAAAATAAATACCCAACCGACTAGACGCTGTGGCCAAGCCTCCTTAGTAATTTCACAACGTATTAAAATGTACATTTTTCGCTTACTATATTTTTAAATATATTTTGGTAAAAATTAGGGTAAAACAAAAGAGGGGGTTCATAAATAAAAAAAAGTTGACCTCTTGAACTGTTTGGTTTATCAGTATCTTCGTAGTCCATGCAATTTGGAGTGTCTGCGTTCCCACAAAGCACCTAGGTGAACCATTGGCTGCAATTTACGGAAGAAACAAGCCGAGTTGTAAAGCTGCAAATGTTTTAGAGATGAACGAACAGCTTGCGCTGTGACACAAGACATGGTGACACGTCATGAGTTGTCTGCGTTTTTAGGTCTAAATACATTGTTTGACCTGAATTTGAGCAGATTGTTTAAAAAGAGGAAGTGATAGACGAGTTTTGTCTTCACCTTATATTTATCGGGTTCGGCGAACATTAAATGTCGGGATAATTGTCATGGTAATTAATTAATTAATTACATTTTTAAACAATTTTCGAGCTGTTCCTTTTACGGGTCATTTAGAATTGCAATATTGACGGCAATTACTCTTAAAGACTAGACAAAATGAACCATTGGCGGAATGGTTATGGTTTTTAGATATTAATCGATCAATCGAGTTTTTTCGCCCAATCTAAGAATTGCTCTCAAATAGAGCGTCGCAAGGCCTGCCCACTATGACACTTGGAAGAGCTACGTCGTTGTTTCAACCATGTTGTCACCATCCCGTCAGCGTGTTTTTGCGAGTGCGCCGACAACACAAACGACGGAGTGATCAAAAACGACTACGTCACACTTCCAGGCAAAATTGTGGAAAGAGCTTGATAACCTCTTTTTGTGGGCAATTTTTAAATTGGGCCAAAATACCGGGAAAATTAACCGATTAATATTTGAAGAAAAATAATACCTTTTCGAATCTTTTTTTTTAATTAGCTTCACTTTTAATATTAATTGCCTTCAATAGAGCAATTTAAACATCAGTCGTAAAAGCAATAATTAAAAAGGTAATGAACAAATTTGATTTAATTATCCAAATTAGCAAGACGATTGTACTCTCATCTAATCTCCGCTGAGCCTCATAAATACACAACGAATACGGAACACCCGAGTCTACATTTCACCACTTTTTTAAGTTTGTTCGAATTAAAATTAGACACCCTGTATATTTTTAGCCTCGTTGTTCGTCGATTGCCCTCCGTAGATTGCAGCCACGAGTTCTCTTAAGTGCTTTGCGGGAAAGCAGATTTCTCCAGATTTCTTAGTGTGCAAGGCCAATTGGTGGAAAACTAAACGTCCCTTTGAACGTTTTTGTTTCCAGGCAGAGGAGTACTTTTTCAGAAAGATGTGGAAAAAAATTAAGGAGAGCGCCAAGATTTCCGCTAAAAGGGCCGTACCAGCTCTAAAGGCAAAAGCGCGAGAGTTCCTTGCCAGAAAGGCTGAAGAGCTCCTCCGCGACCTGATAAGAAAACATCTTGGTAGCTACTCACTGGAGGACACCGAGTCATACCATCAATTTTTGTTTGCCATTTCCAAAGATATTGACCAGATGGGACAGGACCTCATTCAACGGGGCGGCGAGCTGCTCAAGTAATGCGAGGAAATAAAGTTTTTGAGAATTTGAAATGAATTCACTTATGTTTATAATCAGAGTATTTTACAATTGCCTCTGTGAATTGCCGCTAGTTAAGATGGAAGCTTGAGCGATTAATTAATTAGATTGTTATCAGTTTACATAATCATTTCGAGTTCGGTTGCTTTCAGGAGAGAGCAAATTGAACGATTTATCGCCGTAATAAATTTGTGCAATATTTGGTACGCGAGTTTTATGGGGATTACGAAATGGTTTTAAACATCTACAGTCGAACCAAGTATTATGTTTCAAATAAAATAAGAAAGTACGCAGAGGTAAATTGATTTGTATTTAAAATGAACAATGAGTTTTCTCTTGATTGTTAAGAAAAATTATTAAAACTAATGAGAACATTTTGATTTGCCAATGATTTTACGTACTGCAAACCAAAATCCAATGCCTTTTCGTAATGGTCACCATCTCGAGAAGCATCGTTCTCTGCAGTGTAGGTGTCTTAAAGTGGCAATCCAATTATTAAAAAGAACCCCTTATTTGTTCCATTGCGGGAGAAGGCGGCGTCGGCGTTGTGCCCGAAAGATGGCCATAAGAATACGCCCTCAAGAACGCGCCGCTCAAGGTAAAAGCGGACGCGCCTCAGAAATAAAACACAAAGTAAAGCACAACAACGCAGATGCTTCGTCACGGAAGCCGTGAAGCTGGCGAGGGGGCCGCGCCTGCGCAGTTGGGGGAGCGTGATGTAAACTCGGAGCGCCGTGTGCAAAAAGGAAGACGCGGTGCACTACCTCCGGCGCGTCAGTTCAGCTTCGCACTTCATTTGTGCTCGTTGTGTGCTTCGTGCGATGGACGGTGAGGCGAACTGGTCTACATCTACGTCACGACATCGGCAGAATCTACGTCATGACATCGGCAGGCGTCTACGACGGCTACCGCAGGCAAACGTGGCCGCCCACGCAAATACGCCACAGCCGAGGAAGCAGGTTAACAAATACGCTAACAAGCACACCGAATACAATACCGCCAGAAACAACTTTAATACGTGTAGAAACATTACTCGAAACATTTCACCGGTGGGACTATAAAACGTTTGCATTCCTACACGTAAGTACTCTTAATGTTTTCGCAGTGTTTTGTTTTAACCTGTTTTAATAAACGTGTATTCGTCTAGTGAACCTTTACTGGGTTAAGCTAATGAGCGTTAAACATGGCTAATAATATTTACAGATATAATGTCTAGCACACCATTGTATGCTTTCAGAAGCGTTAAGTGGTCCTCTACGAAAACTAGTGAGATAAATAGTAATAAAACATAATCAGATTAGACATGAGTAGTAACCTTAAAGTTCCCATCTAACTCTGGTCATAAAGCCTCTTCTACCAGATTTATTAAATGAGAAAAAGCAAAGCAAGTTATGCAGTCGGGACATTTTGCTCACTACTAAGAAAAGCCTAATAAAACGATATGTTCTACAATTTATTCTAGAATATATAATTTTATTGTATTCTGAAACGATATATATATAAAAAGAGAGAGATATTCCAATGATCCATCCTTGACAGCGGATCTCAGGTTGATTGCACCTTTCTCGAATTTGGCAAAGACTTTGACAAAGTATTTCAAAAACTATTGTCTTTTAGGTTTAATAAACTAATTAGCGATTCTAAAGCTTTTGTCCTGGATTAAATGTTTTATAGGTAATCGATCAGAGTTTGTTTCTATAACTGAAGAAATTTCTTGCATCAGTCCTGAAATTTCCGGTGTTCCCCAGGGGTTCATTTTGGGACCCCTTCTGTTTCTTATTTATATTATTAGCTTAAGAATGTGTGTATCATCCCATATTAGCTTATTCGCAGATGACTTTGGAATTGATCGTGAAATTTCGACCGAATTCGATGCCGCACTTCTTCAGGCAGACTTATGCGCCGTATGGTGCAACTTATGGCAAATGACTGAGTACTAACAGATGTAAAACTATAAAGATGTCTCGTCGTAACACGTCAATATCACCATACTCAATTTGTAAAACTTAGCTCACATCTGTAACCTTATTCAACTATCTTGGTGTTTGCATCACTTGGGGTTTGCGTCACTCACATCCTTAACATGATTAACATCTATTACCAGAACACGCACGGACTCCGTACGAAGTCTGATGAATTCATGGTTATTGTTTTGCACAGTGCACCTGATTTATATGTTTAACTGAGACGTGGCTAAATGATAGCCCGGTCAATACTGAATACTTTCCGGCAACCTACAATGTGCATCGGGGTGACACAAACTACGTGAAAACCGGACAGAACTATGGAGGCGGAGTGCTAGCTGCGATTGCCGGTTGCATAAACTCACACAGAAGGTACGACCTGGAGCTATATGGTGAATGCGCTTGGGTGGAGCTGCATACAAAGGATGGTTTTAATTTGCTTATTGGAAATTATTATTTCCCCCCACTGTACGAGCATACCCCTTTTATTAACCATTTTAAGGAAATCCAGGCAAAAATTTACTTTAGTAAGTTTGGAGTGCATATATTGTGTGATTTTAATATTCCAGGTGTAGACTGGGCTTCTGGTCTCGTCGCTGGTCAGAAGGTTGCAGATATTTGTGCAGGTCACTTTAGTTCATGTTTTTCCTTGCATTCATCTTCGGAACAACATGGTGATTCGACTATCGACACTCATAATAGCCTTCCTTTCTGCGTTATAACTGATGACGAAGTTTTGCGAGCGATTGGGGGCCTTAAGTCAGCACCCAATACCTAAACGGTCCTTGGGTGCTGACTCAGTCCCTTGTTTTATTATCAAGGGTTGCGGGGACATTCTGACTCCTAATTTACGGCAAATATTAACTTTATCGTTTCAGCCTGGTATTTTCCCTAAGCAATGGAAAGATGCTATATAGTTCTAATATTCAAGGCGGGAGATGCTTGCCTCGTGAACAACTACAGGCCTGTGTCTCTACTGTGTGGGTTTTCGAAGGTTTTTTGAAATTGTTTTGCAAAGGCGACTTTCTTTTTATTTCCGCCAAAAAATCAATCCTCCGCAGCATGGATTCCTTCAGGGGAGATCAGTTGAGACTAACCTATGCACATTCTTCAATTACTCGTCTCCAGTCGTTTTTGGCGAGGGACAAGTTGATACTCTGTACTTTGATATGCTGAAGGCATTCGATACGGTGAATCATGTTTTGCTCTTGTCGAAACTGCGGTTGTATGGTTTATGTCCTTTGTATCTTGCTTGGTTTGAATCTTACCTTCCTTCGCGTACAAACGCGGTTCGGATTTCAAATATTTTATCGGATCATTTAATCTCAACGTCAGGCGTTCCACAGGGCTCAAACTTGGGCCCTCTCCTTTTCTTAATTTTTATAAATGATATTGTTTCTTGTCAAAGCTGTATGTTGGGCTAGTTGGTACTGGTCTTGGGTTGCCAAAGTCATGGTAGCGCTTTTTTGGACGAGGACAAAAGAAATAACGACAAGACAGACACGAGCGCCGTGTCTGTCTTGTCGTTCTTTCTTTTGTCCTCGTCCAAAAAAGCACTACCATGCCTTTGGCAACCCAAGATATTTTTTCCGCTGTCAAGAGTGCTAAGATTCTACTGTTCGCAGACGACATCAAGCTTTATTTCTCGGTGCGTAGCTTAGACGATTGTTCATTACTAAAACAGGATATTGACCGTGTGTCAGGGTGGTGCTCATCTAATCTATTGTTCCTTAACATACAAAAAAACAAAAGTTATTTCTTTGTCCAGAAAGCGCGACCCGATTGTTTTTCAATATACGCTACCGAATGCGGCAATGATTCAGCGTGTGACCACCAGGCGTGACCTTGGCGTTATCGTTGATAGCCGTCTTTCATTCAAAGAACACGCCACTTCAATGATGGGTATTTCCTTACGTGTACTGGGGCTGATTTTACGTATGACGCGGGAGTTTTCGAGTTACATATGTTTGGTTCATTTGTTTCGTTCCTTGGTTCGACCAAGACTTGAATTCAGTTCCGTAGTGTGGAACTCCTTTTCTGTGAATCAGTGCAACGAAATTGATAGAGTTCAGGAGCGTCTGGTTCAAATTGCGTACGATAGATACTTTAATCGCCGTTGTTATTATAGTTACGAATCACTACTTAAATATCTTAATTAACGAGAGCTAAGTAAACGGCGTACTATTCGTGATTTGTCGTTTTTGCATAAAGTCATCTGAGGTAGAATTGATAGTATTTCGCTCTTATCATCTGTGAACTTTCATGTACCTTTTCGTACTCGTAGATTTCTTTTGCAATTTTTCCCAGATACACCATACCAGGCCTCGCCAATTTCTAGGATCCAGCATCTTTATAACGAGCTTTTTTTTCCTGATCTTGACATCTACGCAGATACGTTTTTAGAAATGGTGAAGGATTTATAGAGAATGAAATTTTGTTTACGTTTCTAGCATTGTGTTTTCTTTTGATTTTAGCTCTTTGTGTCATCTGAAGCGTCTTGATATATGTGCGTATTGCGTTTGTTAATTTTGTGGCAAGTATTGATTAACCTGTGCCTCAACCTGTGCCTCAACAGACAGATGCATCTTTAATGTGAGAATTACTTTGTTTATTGTGTACCAATAAGTAGGTCTTCGTGCTTCGTGGCCGTTTTTGGACACTACCAGAAAATAAAGTATATTATTATTATTAACCTATCATGGAAAATTACTTCGGATCATATAATCAGTAGGCTAATTCGATGCTTAGATATATAAAGGTAAACTTTTCTTTAACCCCGATGTCAGTAAAACTTCTTCTGTACGAGATTGATTAGTTCAAAGCTGGAATATGACGAAGCAATTTGGGATACCGGCCACACAACGCTTGTAGCAAACATTAAAGCACTGCAAATCGCGCCGCACGTTTCATAGCCTGTAACTACAATCGCACCTCAAGTGTTTCATCTATGAAAACCATCCTGTCTCTGCCTCTTCTATACTCACGCCGTTAATTATCTCGTTTATGCCTATTTCATAAAATTGATCAGTCTAACGCTTCTCTGAAAAACAAACTATTCATTAGCCCCTCTTTCATTTCTCCCCGCATCGATCGCAATCTTAGAGTTGGCATACCTCAGTGTGAAACTTCAGCTTACATCGACTCTTTAATCTCTAGAACGTTACCGGAATGGAACCACCTTCGCGCATCATTATTAACTTTTCGATCAATTGTTTTACTTTTAAAATCACTAACTACTTACTTTTGCTAAGATTACACCGGACTAACCTTTGTAACCAAGATGCCTTGTTTGTTTAATTTTTTTACTGAACCGATATTGTATGTCGAACCTGTCTGTAAAGTCCCTGGGCTCTCAGGCTATTGAAATAAATAAATAAATATATTTACAGCAGCCCAGCGAGTATAACAGTTAGATACATGCTCCTATGCAGATATAGGTAGATTTGGGAAGTCACGTTTGTACTGCTTTGAATAATACGAAAACCGTATATTAAACGTTTCTAAAATCTACTGACGCAGGTGTTTTTCTGAAACTACAATGACGAGTACTAATATACTACACTCCTAAAGGTCAGGTAACGAGACCCTTCAGACATTTTCATACGACCACTTCAAAGATAATGTCAGAAAGAGCATGTTGGGGGATTCCTCATTTGTGTAACAGGATAGGACAGAAGTCAAAGGTGACGTGATAAGATATGGACTACTCAAAACAGGGCGGTATCAAATAGAAAACGTCCGTCTCAAACGGGTAAATACAGGACGGGGCTTTCCTGAGTGAATGTTTGGCGCACCGTGATAATAGGTAAACAATAGATTAGTCCTGAGACTCCCACCTACGATGTATAAAACTCCCACGTCGAGCGGGCTTTAAAACATATTCCACAAAGTCCACTTTTGACGAAGAGCCAGGCAAGAAGAACGGTAAGAATGTTTGTGGTTTTCACTTCCTTGTTATTATAATCATATTGCAGAAATTAATGTACCAACCGTAGGCTGTGTGTTTCAGGTGGTTTATGAGAGCCTAGAAAATTCTAGTCTATTTTTAAACATTGTTAAATAAAAATGAGGGCCTACTGAGATGTTTCCTTTGCTTACGCGTGAAATAATGTTATAATATAACGTAACGTCATTTTACTGAGCAGATCAAAGAGAAAGGGCCTCTTATGGGAAATGCGATTTTGATGAAATATCGCATTTTAATGTTGGGAATATTGGCCGGAATTACCTGTTCTACTCTACTGTTTTGTTTAATTCTAGGAATGATGAAGCAAGTGATTTCTGTCTGTCTTCTTGGCTTTCTTTGCACTGCATGTAAGTTCCATTACTTACAGTGGTCGTATGAAGTGGTCGTATGAAAATGTACGGTAATATTCAGTCGTTCAATAATACAAGAAAATGTTCCACCGTGCTAAAAGTATGCGCATACTTATAGTGCGTCAAAACATAAAATTACAATGATCCCTTCAGGGAAGTGTGACCTTGAGATCAGCTTCGCTTAGGGAAAACGTTGGTGTATGTTTTCTTTGACTGTTTTTGTGAGTGCAGCATTTAGCAGAAGTAGTACGCCTGTGGACAAAGTAACTGTGAGTCAATAGTCAAAAAAGGGACAGGGCTTACGACAGCTTGGTCTGCTATTCATATCCTCTCATTGACTACAGTGGGGATGCCAGTCAAACACTAGTCATTCTAGTGAAATATTTATGATGCATAGCAAGTTTTTATAGGCAATTGGTAGTTTTTAATTATAATGAAAAATGTAAGAATTACTTCGTGAAGGACGTTAAATTTAGTAACTGTGGTCGGATTAATTTTCTAGGAATGTCGCGGAAATAAGTAAGGCTTCGTTTTGATCATTATGAAAATCAATTGACCTTTCTACCAGCACAAATTGTAAATTCAATTGTAACGTTTCGTATTTTGTTTACTGTAGTCTGCCTGGCGAACAATGTCGAAGAACCGGAGTTATTCGACGCGATTGTCGACAACGAGGTGAAGAAGGTGGGCGAGGAAGCTGTGTTAATTGGAAATATTCTTCGGGAATGCGCGAAAGGCTTGGAAGTGCATGTAGCAGAAAATGAGCACCTGGCGAATGAGGTAAGCGATGCCTAGCTCTCGTCGACTTTTTGACGAAAAACATATCTATAGTGAAATTTGAAAAAAAAGAAGAAAATATATATATATATATATATTCTCACTCTAGCGTTATAAAAATGATTCTGAGCTTTGTTCTTTCGATTATCTTACTAGAATGGAAAGTTGGGCGAGTTGGTATGAATTCATTTTCAAAAACAGCGCGAATACCACACGGACAAGAAGGAGGAACACACAGGACGAGGCGCTGACTATCAACTGTCTATTCAGAACACATACATTCATTTTGAATGTATGTGTTCTTGTCCGTGTGGTATTCGCGCTGTTTTTCAAAATGCTTTCGATTATCACTAAAGTATATTTAGTAACTCGAACAATTAGATGTATTCATCTAATTGTGTTATATCTTTAAACCAGAGGTTATGAAGAAATCGACGTCGTAAGTTTCAAATAATTGATTACAATAAAACGGTAGACGAATCACATGTTTAACATGTTTTACTTACATCTATCTTTTATATATAAAAAAAGTTTATGTAGTACGCTACAGTTTGATATTGATTAATTTAAAGCTAGATATTTAAGGGTTATATTTTGTCCAGTTTAAGGTGATTTTGTTTAAAACTGTACTTTAAATAAATTGGTATAGAGTACAAATCGGTCATATAAAAAAGATTGGGAATGTATATCTTCACTACAACGAAAACAACGATATATTGCCGGGCGTATCAAATGGATGGATTTTCTTAAGTCAATAAATTTCGAAGCGCTCTTTGCTCTTCTATATTTTGATTCCAAGTGATACGTTGTCACCTTCAAAAGATTCAAATTGTTGGCTTCGCGTATACTTTATTATGCTTAGAGTTTATTTTGGTGATCCTCGCGACCTATCATGTTAGAATATTGGTAGGTTTTGCCAGGTCCGCAGGTCCTTGAACTTAGGACAACAGGGCTGTCATTTGTTTTGTTTTTTTCGTTTTTTGCAGACGGTGGAGTATTTTTTCAAGAAACTGTGGCGCGGGGCGAAGAATGTAGTAAAGAAAGCGGGCAAGGTTGTGGAGAAAGTAGGCAAAGGCATCATTCAGACGAAGGTAGCAGATATCATCAAGGGTCTCATCCAGAAGAAGATGGGCGGATACGCACTCGCTGAAGACGAGTCGTACGGCGGCCTCGTTCTGACTCTCGCCAAGGACATGGACGATTTGGGCAAGGCTCTTATTGAGAAGGGCGTAAAGCTGTGCGGAGAGTGCAGAAGAAAAAAGTTGGAAGATGCTGAAAGGACCTTCGTTAATGAGTTCGTTTCCGCTTTTTAGGCGAATATGTATCCATTTTGTATTGACGTTGTTTGTACCGCTTATGATGTACTTACAACTTATTTTCACGATAAAGTGTGCCTCACATCTGATTTTGCATTATTCTGAATTTATAATTTTTAAAATGCAATGCGAGTTTTTTTTAGAGCTCTCAAAGCATAAAATACACTTAAGTAAAAAAAAAAACCATCTCGTACATTCTTTCAGACTTTTTTGTTTAGTTTTGTGCCCCAACCCCACATAAGTTCATAATTTTCCCCTTGAAAAGGGGGGGGGGGGGGGGGTGGCACCGGTAGCGGGCCTTTTGGTGGAGGGAGGAGCTGGCGTGATATTCTTCTAACAAATCCCGGTGATGTGGGCCGCGTTTTGCGGAGGAAGGTTCTGGATTGTAGGTGGCAGGGGGGATACGTGGCGGTGTAGTGCGGGCTTATAACTCGTCGTCACTCAGCCAGATCAGGCCATGTTCAGATGGCGCATGCAGCATTGCCCGCTGGCGTTCCTGGCAGGCGCGGTGAACGACGATCAGGGCATCCTCAACATCGGTCTGTGTGAGAGACCGAGATCCCGCCGACGCCTATAGTCGCTGCGGTTCTACCTGGTCTTTTTGGAGAAGCCCGCGATTGTGCTTTTGTTATGACCGAAGTAGAACATGTCAGAACTCGCACAGATCACGTTGTTCCTCCTCGGCTTAGAATGGATGGCGGTTCTTTGCAGATCGTTCGCTCAGGTGCGTTCCGAAATAGAAGATACACTTCCGCTTCGGCGGAAGATACGGAAACCTGGGGCTGGTGTGTCCAAGGGGAACTTAAAGAATGGCTGAGAAGCCACCCAACCTATATATGGCACGCCACGTTTAACCTTCCAAGACGCCTTGGCGGCGCCTTGAGAGCGTTAACGACGACCCCGTCTCCTAGTGCTTCGAAAATGGCCACCATGGTTGTACCGAGGGCGCTGACGCCGATGCGATCAGGAGCAGCACCGGGAACGTCGAATGGGACGGAAGCCGCAACGTTGAGGGGGCATTCCTGAACAGAGAACGGTCAAGTTCATAAGTAAGTCGATAATGGTTCGGCCGAATTCTGTTGCGACGGCCTTCGCTGGGGGCTTTAAACTCAAGAAGAACGTCTTCCGGAGGTCACGATCCCATCTGGAATCGCGGGCCCTCGCAAGGAAAAACACCGGCATGCGTGTGCGTGCCTGTGTGTGTGTGGGTCTGTTGGTGTTGGGTTTCAGCAAGAACGTCGACTCCTTACATCAGCCACCGGATCGCGGCAAGAATTTCGAGGGATTACATCATCTGCCTCTCGCTGAAAGAACACCCGGAAATAGCATCAGCCGCCCCCGCACTTTGGACGCTTCGTGAACACTCGAACACCGGGGAAGGCTCCCCTCTCTCAGAGGGCCTTCTCGATCTCGGAGGGCTATATAACATGGGCTTGGGGAGTCCGAAATCGCCGATTGCCGATTAACCAGTCGACCATGCTACTTGTATATTCACGGTACATAAAAGTTATACTTCAGTACCTCCACTCCAGGCCTGTTTCCTCGGGGCCATGCTAGCAGCGAGCTACAGCCCCGACTCTTAATTCCGTGCCTGAGATCGTCACCTCCCGAACGCAAGAATTCCTAGGAATGAACTGCTTCAGGTCGGTAACGTTAACAGGTCCTCTGTCAGACTCCTTTCTGACATGCCGTAAGCGGCATACCAAACGCGAGCCGTGTGAAACAACTTCATATGGACCTTCCCAGCGAGGGGTTAATTCGGCCGCAAATTTGCTTGCTGCATTACTAAGAAGGTGCGTGCGCCGGAGAATGAGCGCTCCTATTGCAACCTCTAGGGGTCGGCTCCGTTCGCTATACTGAATTCTCTTATCGAACTGCGCCAATTCGGTATTCTCTTTGCGCTACCCGCACGGCGTCGGTGATCCTGTCAAAAAGTTGCTCAGCAGACTGCGCGTATAGGAAGTATGAGGTTCACTATTATAATAAAAAAGTGTTTTTCTCGAAAGGAAATATCAGCTCTCGTCCGAAGTTTAATTGAGCTGGTGTGAACCTTGTTGAACGAATCTCCGTAGTGCGGGTTGCGAAAGCCATTTCCGGATCATACTTGTCTTAAACTTTGTGCCTATCGGTGTACATCACCAGTATTGCTTTGAGGTTGCGGTTGATCTTCTCGGTTATATTAGCCTGAGGATGGTACGGAGTGATGCACCTGCGCTTGCTGGCCAGTGCCATGCAACAGTCTTGAAATACCTTACTTGTGAAGTAAGATGCGTTATCGATAATTAAGAACAGAATTCTAAGCGGCTAAAGGTGCCTTTTTGTTTGTCCCAGATTTCCCTAGAGGTCAGCTAACTTCACTAACTTGGAGAAGTAGTCGGTGACCACCAGTGTGTGCCTGTTTTCTTTAAGCGTGCGGGAGAGAGACCCATTATGTACTAAGCAACCACCTCTCAGGAAAAGACGAGTATGCACTGATTTCGTCAAACCAAGGTCTTTGCCACCCCTGCGTTTGGCTTGTTGGCAACGGGCACATCATCGGGTGCAGCGAAGCACGTTTTATAGATCCTTGGCCAAGGGACTACGCGCCATAAGTTTTGGTAGTTTTTGTGGCCATCGCTGTTGCCCGATAACGCTCTCTCGTGGAAATAGTGAGGGGTCTTAAAAGGCCCCTGAAAAGAAAAAAAAGAAACGTGTTATTTAAACTGTCTGGTTGGGACACGCCTGTCAAAATTAATTGTACTCGAAAAAAAAAAAATTAGACCAACATTTGACGGCGCGAGATGCAATTTAGTCGGTGTCACCTCCATTCCACTTGCTTTCTCTCTCGGCATTTCGGGCGCGTGGAGAAGAGGGGGGTCGGCTCCGCCATCACGTTGAGGTGCAGAGAGTATATGACCATCTCGTTGACATGGAAAGAGCGTATGACCCTTCCATGACGTCATGGACTTGGCCCGCATATTTGAAATAAATCTCAGGCCGTTAATTTTGGCCTAAATGTTTTTCCTCTAAGATGTATTTCTTGACACACGTGTCCCAACCAAACCGTTAAAAACTATTTCTTAAGGGCCCTTCAAAGAGGGGGCTACAACTACGCAGAAAGGTGATGTAGTTTGGTCGGCTTCGTCTCCTTGGGGATGTAGCGAAGAAAAAGACAACCTTCTTAGTGCACGTAAGTATCTACTGAGCCGCTTGTAACGTCGCAATCAGATTGACTAGGTTCACTCAGGAATCGAGAAATCTTTCGGCACATTTCGCCTGATTGCTGGACTCTTTAGCAACTGGTCTCGGCTGACGGCAAACCCGCAGGAAAATCTAGTGTCGGTTAGTGCGACAAGTTCTGCTGTTTCATCAGCTTGTAGTAAAGGGGGGGGGGGGGGTGGATGGTGCTCACGAAAGGGCGTCCGCTGCGACATTGAAATTTCCTGGTTTGCATTAGAATAAAAAATCGTACTTCTGTAGAGCCACAGCCCAGCGAGCAAGATGGCCAGCAAGGTTTTTGAGGTTACTTCAACACGTTAGCGCTTGATGATCGGTCTGGGTGGTAAAAGTAGATTCATCCTGGTACATGTCAAACTTTCTAAAGGAAACTATGATAGCCAGACACTCCTTTTTGATGGCTGTGTAATTACATTCGGCAGCAGAAAGTATGACTAGTGAATGGCACGGTTCGCAATGCTGCGTTATATTCCTGAAGCAATACGACTCTTATATCATAGTGACTACCGTCATTATGGAGGAAAAGCAGAGCATTAAGATTAGGGCGCCTCAGGGAAGTAGTATCTGAGATAGCGAATTCTAGTGCTTTCAATGCCCCGGTCTAAGCAGGGGTCCAACTCAACGGAACATCATGAAGTAATAATTAATAAAGGGGACGTGCCAGAACAGGCCAGTTAGCGATGAATTTGCGGTAGAATCCGACCAGGACAAGATGCTGCTGTGGATGATTTTTATCTCGTTGTTGGGGATATTTCAGAATTGCTCTTAACTTCACACTTTGTGGCTGGAGTGGCCCATGCTTAACTGCAAATCCCAGGAGCTCCACAGTGGATAACCAAGGTTTTATGTTTGATGAAATATTTGTGAGGCCGGCGCCACTCATAGGCTATAAAACGGTTTGTAATTGACGAATGTGGTCCCGAGTGTATAAGAGAGCACAACTCCATCATTCATACAGACCATCGCATATTTAAACTTGGCATGACCGAAGGCTATATTTATAAACCTCTGGAAACATGCGAGAGTGTTTCATAGGCCAAAGGGAAGTCGGACGAAAATTAATTTTTCGGGCAAACGAATGCCGTTTTAGGGTTATTGTCTTTGGCCACTGGAATTTGCGGAAATCTCAACTACAATCGAGCATGGTGAATTTCCATGAAGATCCTAGTGCATACAAAAAAGACCAGATAGATCGGAAAGGTATAGGTTTTCCGTTTTTTCACAGCGTTGAGAGGTCACTAGTCTACGTAGGGACGTGCCGTATCATTTTTTTGGGTGCTAACACAATTGGAAACGCCCATGCAGTCTTTTAGTGTAGCACGGAACCGGTCTGCGTCATCTGGTCCAGTGCTCCGTCGAGGAGTGGTAGTTTGTGAATACTCAGGGGGCCAGCATTAAATCAAATGGGTTGAACGCCTCCTGCGTCAAATACAATGATCGAGAATGCTAGAATTCCCGAGCCTCTCAGTGAACATATGCGAGACGGCGTTGAAAAGTTCTGTTAAGAGTGAGCGGTCTGAGTGGATGCCAGAGAAGGAATGTAACGCTGCACGTAGATTATCCCATGTGGAGACATTTGTGAAAGCATTTTGACATACTGCAGCCTCCAGAGGATCATTAATCGAAAACCTCGGTCTCATTGCGAACTTTAAAAGAGCAGACTTCCAGCTTTATCGGTATTCGCCACCTGCTAAATTCAGCACAAGCACTTCTCTAGATATTAAATTTCGTCTGAGAAGGATAGGGCAGGCTAAGTCGGACAGGTAGTTGAATTGTTGTCGGCATTGGCGACCCTCAAAGTGCAGTTACAGAAGAGCTCCTAAGCGGGAGGGGATAAATTCGTCAGAACCCATACGCAACATTCTCTAAAATC